TGCACAGCCAGTGTGACGAGGACATACCAGACCAATATTACACCTTCATGGCGTGCTACCCATGCACGTGGTTCTGGTACATCTGCCCACAGTGCCGTGTAAGGCCGCCCCTTTCTAAAGGCTCGCTGATGGAGGTCGTGAAAGACATCGCAGTGACTCCTGCCATGCCGGCACCCACACAGACCACTACCCCAGGCCCAAGCAGCAAGAGTGTCAGCACTGAGCCCCGGCCAGTCACACCGGTGAATAGTCCAAAAAGACCAAAACGACGACCGGGTACGCGACCAACTACATTCGTCCCTAACCCTGAAGCTACTTCAGAGGCTTACCCCACTGTGCAACGGGAAAAATGGGTGACATTGGGAAAGAAGGTGCACCCTTCCCGCCAAAAAACCACCAGCAGCACACGAAAATAAGAAGCTGATGGCAGGTCGAACTCCATCATCTTATTTAACGTCCCTGTGTTCCATGATAGTCTCCTTGAGAACAGAGGATCGTTTGACAAGCAGCATGGGGAAACCGTATGCACCACACTAGGTCTGGGAAGCCTAGGAGCAAAACTGTACAGGCTCCACAAGGGCAACTACCCACCTCAGGGAAAGCCTCCGCCAATGAGAGTTACCCCAAGCTCGGCTAAAGAAGCAGAAAGATTCTTGCTGATGCCACACACACTAGTCATCAACAGGTCATCTAGCATTGGAGCCAGACCAGACCGCCCTTGGTCAGCGAGAAAAGTATCTCGCGAGGCTCCCCAAACGCTGAAACCAACAACTATGGTTGTCCACGGCGTACCAGAACTGACAACCGGCACAGTCGTAGAAAAGTATGCTCACGACGTCCAGCAATGGCAGTGGTTGTCAACGAGGATGGGGCTAAATGGGATAGCAGCGGCGGCGATCTGCAGACTGCCATGTCCCTCACATTTGACGACGGTAACAATACCCCGGTTGATGGCTGTTAACTTCGGCTGTCAAGAACTTTTAACCAGTGTACTGCAAACTTGGTATACAGTAAAAGATAACATCAGTGGGAACGTTCGCTGCTGTGAAAGCAGGCCCAGGACACTGCGACAACAGCAAATGGCAGCACCGCCCACCACCGAAGTCACCATCACTGTCAACAGACAAGATGCACAATCAAGCCTGGACTCTATGAAACCCCCAGAAACCATTGTGGGAAAAAACGTGATTGGGCCGGTTCCACTGGAGCTGGCCGTCCTATAGCAAGTTTCGCCACTATGCACGACTTCCCCCGGTCTGCCAGCACTAAGACACCCGTTGTCGTTAGAAACATGGTCAAGTGTCTTCACAGTAATATGAGGGGACTTAGAAGTAAAATGGGGGAATTACGATTTCTGTGTTCCTACCTTGCTGCAACGATCACAATCCTGACAGGAACTTGGTTATCACCGGACATTACCGCCATCGAAGCTAGTACAAACTGTATGCGTCTGTTCAGGAGAGACAGGGATTTTAAGGATGGAGGCGGAGTGGCGATGCTTATAAGTGGTAGCCTTGAAAGTGAACGAGCAACTGGAACCCTACTTTCGGGGCTTCTAGACTCCATCTGGTGTCAATTTAAGGTTGGGCACACCAAGTACCTAGTAGGAGGCGTCTACACAACACCTACTAGCAGCGTGGAAGATAACTGACAACTGCTGCAAGTAATGTCTCGAGCGACGTCCATCGGATTTGACCACGTCATTATAGCCGGCGACTTTAATGCTCCGACTCTCAATCTTGGGCAGGATGGGGGAACCTCAAGCCGAAGGTTCGGCCTAAGCCCACTCAACACTATCCAAAAGGCTGGGCTGCACGAGAATATTGGTGAAGACACTCGCCGGGGGCCTGGCGGAAAGCCGTCCAAACTGGACTACCTTTTTACCAGTGACCCACTGCTGGTAGGAAATGTACAGGTTCAAACCCCCCCCTCGGCAGAGGTGATCACGGCGTGGTAGTGTTCGATCTGGTACTCTCCGGAAAACTGTCATGGGAGGCATCGCGCCCCTGTCTTCGCCATAACAAAGCGAGCCTCGTAGCGATGAACCAGTATCTGTCGACTGCACCATGGCCTCAGGAGTGGAGCAACCTGTCGACTGACCAACATTGGGAACTAGTCAGAGAGGACTGTCTCTGAAAACGTCCCAGCAATCACAGCAATACCGTGAAAACGAACCTTATGGTTGAAGCGAGGCACTGAACGCCTTTTGAAAGCCAAGAGGAAAGCGTGGCACAAGTGGAGGACCTCCAGAAAAGTGTCTGACCATACCGTGTATACTGCCTTAGGAAATCGATGTAACATTAGAGTGAGGGGAGACAGGAGGTCATTCCAGACGAACCTTCCTCAAAAGCTCGAGGCAAATCCAAAACCTGTATCGGTTTATGGTGGGCAGAAAATCCACCAGCCAGGGTGCTTGCGTCCTGAAAGGCCTAGAAGGAGAGGACCTTTCCGGACTAGAGGTCGCCAAAGCCTTTAGTGCCACCTTCGATGCGCAACTGAACACGCCTCCATCGAACCAAAATTATCAACTGTCCGACCGAAATTCAGCACCACCAAACGCAGTAGAGTTACCTCGAATAAAGGTAACTCCTTCTATGGTCCTCGAAAAACTGTCACAGATCCACCCAGGGAAATCACCAGAGTGTGATGACGTTCAACCGACTGTGCTGAAACAATGCGCCGGAGCCTTGTGCGGTCCGCTATGTGGCTTGTTTCAACACTGCTTAGACAATCACATGCTTCCAAAAGTGTGGAAAAGTGCTATTCTGTCCCTCATCTTCAAAGGTGGAAACAGGCAGAACCCAAAGTGCTACCGACCCATAGCCCTCTTACCAGTGGTGTCAGAAGTGACGGAGAGCCTGGTAGACGACCATCTCAGGGAGTACCTAGAAAGGGGGGAAGCACTTAAAGATGCATAACATGGTTACAGAAAGAGTAGGTCCTGTGCCACAAACATTCTGGCGGCAGGTGATAAGTGGACGGCATGCTGGGACCTCCAAATTCCTGTCCATGTTATTTTCCTGCATTTTACTAAGGCCTTCAACACAGTTCCACACACCGTTCTTCTTCACAAAATAGAAAGGTTGGGAATCAAGGGACAAGTGTCGTCATGGTTGTAGGGCCATCTGGAAGGTAGATAATTCTGCACAGAAGCCAACAGAGTTTGCTCGACTTGGAGGACATCATCATTTGGTGTATCACTAGGGGCGATTCTGGGTCCGCTGCTATTCCTTCTTTTTGTGAACGACCTCCCACTGAATCTCAGTTCCCCAGTTCTACTCTACGCTGATGTTAAGCTATGGAGAGCTGTGACGTCAGAAACTGAATCAAGCTCACTGCAAAATGATCTCAGATTACTTGCAGAGTGGGTGGAAAATAATGGACTTGCATTTAACCTAGATAAATGCCGAGCCATGTTTCTCCGCACCCCAGACTCTCAGAAGGTACCCTATTCTCTCTGTGGAAAACAACTCTGCCACACCACCACAGAGAAAGCCCTAGGACTAATGCTAACTGACAAACTAGACACTAGCCCCAATTATCCAGGAGATGCCTCCAGGGTCTACGCAGTACTGCACGTCATGTGCAGACAACTGGGTGCCCTGACCCGGAACTCTTTTTGAAGCTGTATAAGACCTATATACGACCCCACCTAGAGGCACAAAACGTCATTGCACCACCATATCTGAAAAGAGATGTGAACCTCCTGGAGAAAGTCCAAAAGCGAGCTATAAGGGGTGTCGTGGGAATGAGGCAAAAGCCATATCAGGACAGGCTGAGAGATCTAGGGCTCTTCCCCCTAAGCTACCGCAGATTACGTGATGACTTGATGACGGCTCACAAAATACCCAGTAACCCAAGTCATCCGAACAGTGGAATCCTACGAAACGGCCACTATGGCGATCCTCGTGGTAACCCAAGGAGGATCGCTCACCAAGGAGCGGAAACCCGTGTGTTATCACACTTCTTCTCTCTGTGAGTTTGCGGCCACTGGAACGCATTGCCTGCCGAGATTGTTATTGCTCCGTCTGTTGACAGCTTCAAGAAGAGGTTGGACAGTTACTCAGCGACGCACGGTTTGCGCTCATCCAACTGGGATGTGGGCTAGGCTAACACGACTTACTAACACGGTACGACCAACCGTTACTGAACACTTTGTAAAACCACTATCACTGAGAACTTGGCTTAACCTCATACCTGTAGGTTTCCCCTCCAGTTACCGTCCTCTACTAAAAGAATTACTACATTCCCATTCGTCCTATAATATTATTTATTCTTCTTACTTCTGACTTTACGTTCTCGAACTTTAACAAAAGCTCTCCCTATCACCTATTCCCCATGAACCTACCACTGTTTATTCTACCGTGCCGTTTCCTTTTTCCTAATCTTTTTTTAAAAATATATCATTCTTCTTTTTTCCCTTTCTTTTTCTATTTTGTCTCTCTCTGCACTCTCTCTCCCTCGACTTCTCTGCACATACTTTTCATCTCCTTTTTACAAGCAGTCCGACCAATTGTCTGCTGGCAAGATACTTGAGGAACCCGTCTGCACCACAGTCCTCGGAAGAAAAGGCAAGCAAACAAACAAACGACACTGCCTACAAATCTAAATGATACCCAACCGTCCGTCGGGATAACCAGAGCCACAGCAGTCGAGTGGGTAGACCAACTGCATTGGAATTCCCCAAAGACCTCAAACCGTTCAGCAAGACCTAGAAGCGAGTGCGAAGAAATCAGTTGGTTTACACTAGCTCGTTAAAAGATATTGGATATTGATGGTATTATCACAGTTAATGTTTTCTCAGTACACAGAAGAACTTTTGAAGGAATTAGTTACGTTTTTTGCGTTTGCGTATGGCATAAGGTGAACTAGTGTTCATGGTTTTTCTGAATTGGCAATGATTTGTTTTATTACACCAATTGTGGAGTAGCCATGATTTGCGCCTATATCTCGCTGTTGGCGGCAAGGCTCACGTCTGTACTGGTCTTTGCTTCCATGAGATGCGAGTGTGAGTAGTGTTGGTGAATTCAATTTAAGACAGTTGTTGAATATTTCTGAATCTGAACTTCAATTAACATTTAAAGGGTAGTCAGATTCATCTTATAATTGTTTCTTGGGCACCTCTGAGGCTTGGGTGGAAACCGTTGAAAGCACAGGTTTGATGTATGCATGAATAGATCGCAGTATTTGTAGTACTGGGATTCATTAGCTAGCCTGAACTTGTGTAAGTGCTTGATGTTCAAGTTTAGCCCTGGTACTCCTGGTTCCTCACAATTCCTTAGGAAAACAGTCAGACGAACAACACCGCCCATAATGCCGCAACCATTTCGATTGCAGTGAATAACTTCAGTCTGTCATGGTCGGCATTCGCTGGCGAAACTGCTTTCCTCTGTCACGAAATTGTCTCAAAATCTTGTTAGTGGTTACCTTGTTTGTCTTAATGCTGATTCATTGTCTCAAATGGCATTCTGTTGACATTTTGTTTGGGGTCTGGCACTAAGAGTTCTAGGGTTTTGCCAATATATCAGCTGTGTATTCTCAGCATGTGTGGCCAGTTGTTGACCGGACTTGGTTCACATACATGTGACCCTAATCACGTACACCACAGGTGGGTAGTTAACCTTTCGGGTTATTGCAGTCTGTACACTTGGTTCTGAATCCTCCACTGTTTTGAACCGTTGGTTAAATGCTATGTAGTTTTTTGCGGAGCTAGGACTACGCCATTCAGCTGGGGTGAGATAGTCTTTTCTTTAAATACCATACAGATTTAGGGCTCTGGACAGTTCTCGGTAGACAACTGGTTCAACTAAATAGGTGATCTTGCTAAGCCTTGATGTTTATATATGGCTTGGCGGTTTCATTGTCTAAGATGTCGACTGCTTTATACAGCAGATGGAAGACGTAAACTATGAAACAGTTACCATGTAGGCAGGCCTTTTTTGTTTCAGAAGCTCAACTGTCATGAACGTCGAATCTCTTAGTTTCTTTTGATTCTCTCTAGGCACTCTGCTTTTGTGCGATATACTGATCTCGAGAGTAGGGTACCGAATGTTTTTTGACCATTACTGTAGAATATTTTGTTGAGGTCTATTAAAACTGCAGACTTCAACGTACGCTGCATTGTCTAAAGTGGTTGCGCTGCATATCATCGTCGCTTGGTATGTCGTTCTATAGTGTTGTCTGACTATTTTCTTCCAATCAAGCCATTAGGGTCAACGTTAAGCCAAGAAGTTGATGCCAAAAAGCACAACAGCCCACCTCAGTGAAGTCACTAGGAAGATATAGGGAAGAAAGTAGTCGGGATGCTTGGAAATAGTGAAAAGAGAACCAGAAGGGATGAAACAATGGCGACGTACAGTATAACGATTAGGATAAAGATATTGTGTAGATGCACCTTCATCGCTGAGATCGATTGAGCCATATGACCTAGAGTTCCCAACCACCGATTTCGGCTGTCACGTGGATCACCCCTACATTGCTCAGATCAGTAGTCAGACTCCATGGAGTGATGTCGTGCTTTAGCTGTGTCGCTTCCACCTTTTCTACCAGCCTGAACCCACTTCAGCTAGGATTTTACGAAAAGATAGATGGTGACTAGGCATGTGTAACGCATCCTAGTAATTTGAGTCGATGGAGGTTTACAACGACAAGAACTAATTTGCCTCTTCCACCTAAACCTCTACAACTCACTTGTGTACTACTGACGTGATGGTTTCATGACAGACGGGCGATGCTACGAGGTGAATGGTGGTTGAACACATGAAGCCTCCTTATTCACTCCACTTTTGAAGGTTGTGTTGGTGTTATGTTGTAGTAGAAGGGAGTGAAGGAGAGTGTAGTGCTTTTGTTAACTTGTATGCAATCGGATGATAGACAGCTCTATAGATGGCGTAACTGGGTAACAGGATTTCCTCGCACCTCCATTGCGAAGTAACAACATATACTGACGTTATCTGCCTCCTTTGTACCACTATGCAGTGCACCTTTCTGTGTTAGTACCTTGGAAGTAAGTGTTCCTGTCGGCACAGCTCACTCGGTCGTTGTGAGATGCTTGGGGGCCCATCGCATTAGGGTAGCAACTATCAGTTTCTAATCAGTTACCTTTATTATTGCTATCCTTCTGAACAGCCTGAAATTTAAAAGTCAGAATCTGCCTTCTGAGACATTCTTCAGTGTTACGCTGTACTATGACAATTGGGGAAGATACGCTTTTTCATGTTTAAAGATGTTTTAAATTATTACGTGGATGTCTGTCCTTCACTTCCTTCAAGCGTAAACTTAACCAAAAATTTTGAATTGTAGAGCTGGGGTTCATTAACTTGGGCGCTTGGCTTTCAAATTGTAGGACTGTATTCTAAATATGTTTCCACCTATTCTGATGTAAGAAACTGAGTAGTATCGTTAATCCTTTGAATAATATGTAACTGCATAGTACATAAACGTGATGTTCAGTCGATCAGTTGCACTAACTTCATAATTGCAGATTTTCAGGTACATAATACGTGAACTGGTCGATAGATGCTACCTGATTTAGTCGGTCAGGCTTACAAACCCTGACGACCTAATAATCTGGCTGGAACACTTGTTCCTTCGAGAAGCTGTGACAGTGGCGCAGATGTATACATACATTATCCTCATCTTAACGACGCTATTCTCATTCTTCGTTTCTTTCTTTTCGTACTTTATATTTCTTTTGACTGCATTCTCTTAACTTCATCTTGCGCCTCACTACCTTTTTACTTGATATACTGATATGAAGTGTGGCAAGTGGGACCGTTACGCAGTAATGCCTGGTCCTAGGTTGATCTGGATGGATGGATGGAGTGACTTAAGATGACTAACAATCTGTTGGATTCGAAGCCCTCTCCACCTACCGAAGTTTGGACTGGTAGGTAGTATGACTAGCCCTCACAACGGGTGTGGCTCATCGCCTACTGAATTGGTTTCGTCTATCTGGACGCCCTGAATGACGGCTTCGGAATGCCTGGGATACGTTTCTCGCCTCCCATATGCAAATTGTCGCTCTGGGACTGGTCTACATTCATACTCCATCTAACAAACGGTAGTGAGGCGGATAAGCACTTTGACCACTTCACTTGTTAAAATAGCCGAATCATCGTTTCCGGGAGTGTAAAAGATGAAGTCTTCACACGCATACAAAAGACTCGCTCCACCTTCACCTACTGACGCCATCTATAGAGCTGTCTATCATCCGATTGCATACAAGTTAACAAAAGCACTACACTCTCCTTCACTCCCTTCTACTACAACATAACACCAACACAACCATTAAAAGTGGAGTGAATAAGGAGGCTTCATGTGTTCAACCACCATTCACCTCGTAGCATCGCCCGTCTGTCATGAAACCATCACGTCAGTAGTACACAAGTGAGTTGTAGAGGTTTAGGTAGAAGAGGCAAATTAGTTCTTGTCGTTGTAAACCTCCATCGACTCAAATTACTAGGATGCGTTACACATGCCTAGTCACCATCTATCTTTTCGTAAAATCCTAGCTGAAGTGGGTTCAGGCTGGTAGAAAAGGTGGAAGCGACATAGCTAAAGCACGACATCACTCCATGGAGTCTGACTACTGATCTGAGCAATGTAGGGGTGATCCACATGACAGCCGAAATCGGTGGTTGGGAACTCTGGGTCATATGGCTCAATCGATCTCAGCGATGAAGGTGCATCTACACAATATCTTTATCCTAATCGTTATACTGTACGTCGCCATTGTTTCATTCCTTCTGGTTCTGTTTTCATGACTTCAACCATCTCGACTACTTTCACCCCTGTTTTAATTCGGTGCCTTAACACGTGGGGTGTACTGACATGTGTGGCGAACTTGGACTGTAATAGTAAAGCCGGATTGATTGAGAAGTACTTATAATGCCTTCTCAGGCGCTTCTCTGGCCAAAATTACTATGGTTTGGTATTTATTACCTTTCTGATATACGCTGGGATTTTTCTGAAATTGTGGTTCTGCCACCTGGGATAACTGTGTTACGTGACAGTATGCCGACTGTTTAAAGTTCTGGCAGTGGGAACTCCGTCAATATGCTTAAGGGAAATAAGACTTAAAAATTATTTTGAAGCTGTCTCATTATGTGCACTCCAATCCTTTTTGACTGAAACCTAATCGATTTGTGGCTTATTGGTTTCGGGAGATGACTTTCAACTAATGGGCCACTGGTTTGAGCCCCTCTTTACCTATTAGGGTTTGGGCAGCCAGCTGTTGTGGTTAGCTCACACAATAGGCGTTGCTCATTGCCTACTGCACTAACGTGCATAAGGTTGATGAGTGCATTTCATATTCACTTCAAATATTTCACTCGTAGGTCATGAATTCAGCTAGTTGGTCCTCATAAGGGACATTGTGGCTGCTGGTTTTTAGATTTGACTCAATATGTAACTCGTTTGTCTTGAGAATTAAGCATTAACCATTCATCCGCAACTCATGGGCCACCGCTTTCACTTCAGACTATCACGCCATGTTAAGTATTTGTAACTATAACTTTTAGGCTTACGAAAAAATTCCCGTCTCATCGCAAAAACTCGAAAATCCAAGTAAATTCAGAATTGTTTTGCTTAATATGAGAACATGAGAGGTGTTACAAGACCTTACTTACCAAGAATTTCGCTTGTGATTGATCGTGTCAAGTATTATGAATTCTAACTTTCCACTGTGTTTGCTAACCGAGTATTTTGTGCTTATCCCGGACTAAATTGACGTATAGTTAATTGAAGCTTATACAACACCTGAAATTACTGAAGGAGTGAATAACCTCAATCGCTGCTCTTTAGTTTAAACTAGCTGTATCATAAGCATCCTCAGGTTATTGCTTAGTTCGTTCGGAGAAAACTGCATTTTTGTGAATGTTGTAGTGAAACATCCTGCAATAAATTAGAGAAGAGATTGTCATACTGCGCATTGCTGACAAGCAGCTGATTGTTTCTACCTCAAGTAACTACTCCCAGTCGTTTACTGGAATGCTGAATTTTAAACAACCAGTAGTAGCATATATTCACTTGTTTAGGATCTATCCCAGACTAAAGTTTTCTATTTAGTCTGTCACTACCCTGCATAATAATTGGCACCGGTTTATATTATTACATTTATTCTTTTCAGCATGCATGGGGGTACAAAAGCCACTGATTGTTTTGACTTCGCTCATTTTAGATATTTTTACTATATGTGTAACTCGTTGTATGTTAATGAGGTAGGCTTCGAGCCACACTTTTGTGCCGGCCCTGTTGCCAACTCGAAGTGGATTGAGCGGAATCCTAACTCTAAACTTATTTATCGAAAGTCGAATGTTGAAATCAACGAGTCACATTTGCATCTTGTATATTGTTTAAAAGAAAGGTAGTAGACTTAAATGTAGAAGCGCTCCATAAAGTCAGTGACTGTTAGTTTGAGTTAGAGAGGTATATACTTTCAGGTTGATTGGAAACTGTACGTGATGTAGCTGTTAGTCGGCCAAATTTGTATGAATGGATTCATACCTTATCTTCATATTGATTATTATATAGCATTGGATTATCTACTCTATCTGCTCTTCATTCCGTCCTATTGCTTTCTTCATTTGTTGACGATTCTGTTTTCGTCCCTTAACCTTTCTTGTTTTGTTTCTTGGTAGGCTATTGTGAGGTGAGGCAGCTTGAACTGTTATCCAGTAATCCTGGATCATTTGTCAGCACTGATTGACTGGATTTGGGATATTTTATTGTGCCTAAGCTCCGTATCTTAGCTCTCCTTACTGCTAAGACCAGGCAGTGAAAGTTCAGAGCTACCGTTACGGTTTTACAGGATTGAAGCAAGACTGGTTTCATGGTTGTACTTCGCACTTCGACTTCACACTGGCACCAAACCCTGCTCACTGACCTTTATGATCTCTATGCTAGGGAAATCACAAACAATATCCCTGAGCACTTACATTTCCTAGTCAGGTATGCTTTCCGATATTCTGTCACTAACATTAACTGTAGACTCTGACAGTCTTACAACTGTTTCGATGTCGCAAAGTATGCATGCGATCACTGTTCATTTGAGTGTGGCTTGAGTGATTCGCATATCCAAATCTTTGTTTTTATGATAATAGCTAAACTGCTCTCAGGTGTATTCGTTCTTCACTGTCGAGTTCTTGAACACCTAACCATTCTCTCTCAGGTCATTTTGTTTATTTTCATATGCTATTTCTGTCCGCTTTGCTACTGCAAAGTGTGGCGGCTAGTAGTGACGCAATTCCGTTCAAGGTTCTTAGTTGATCTGTCTGTGTGATATATGACGAAAACTGCTATCGGCACTACGTAAACGAAATTTGAATGTCAATCAAATTATTTTAACAAATTTCTGTAGTTTTTGTATTTTTGGTTTTTATTTTTAGTGAGATGGATCCGGCCTCCATTTTCGAGGATGCACTTAAAGGTCTTGCAACTAAGGATTTAGATGGTGCAGAAATCGAAGAACCTTCTAACAATCTGCATGCTTCAGTTGATTTCACAAATGACCATCTAAAATCCGGATCTTATAAGGTTTTTACTGATGACCATCTAAAGTTACCTCTAACATCAAATGTACGCAAAGCATCAGACGAAGTACCCAGTGCTTCTCAGAATGATATTATACTCAGTGCTCTCATCAATGCTGGTATAGCCCCAGCCTCTCTGAAGTCTCAAGAAACCTCTGTTAATATACCTCCAGTTTCAGTTAACTCAAATCCTAGTGTCAAACTTAATTCCAAAGGACCTACTATTTTTAGGGTTGTGCCTTCAGCCAATGGCAGCAATTCACCCATTCAGCAAGCTCATTCTCCTCGGATGGCTAGTCAGCTATTAAAAAAGCCAAGTGATAATGGTCTTTTAGTTTCTTCTGGAATTACACATCTTCCAAATATTATGCGAAAAAGACCTCCTTCGCTTATCGAAACTAGTCAACCTATTTCAAAAGTCAGACGTGTGACAGCTCATGGTCTCATGGATGTCGAACCAAATCAAAAACAAATCTCACCAGCCTTTCCAAAAGTAAATACTGCCCCAAATAGCCTGAGTAACTGGTATGAACCCTCAAACATCGCACGACAAACTTTACCTCCTCATAATATTCGGCTACCTAACCATGTCCAGCAGACCTCCAGACCATACCCACTAATTAAGGTAAGGTTTTAGTTTCTTGTTTTTTTAATTTACTTACTAAGTTCATTGTAACATTTTTTCTTTTGGTTTTCGTTCTTATGGTGCTGAAAAATATGGCAACTTTGGGCGATGCAGTGGTTCTCAACAATTTACTTTGGGGTTTCCAAAGAGATTTTACACTTTTTTTTAACGCATTCCGTTTTATTCAACTATGAATAGGACTTTTACTTGGTACAGTTCGTTACACGCCAAGTGAAGAACAGTAATATTTCTTTTAGTGGATCCATCTCTCCTATTCAGTGTGTTTGCACTCAACTATTTCCTCTACATGTTCTCAACCAAGGTAATGCAAATGACTTTGCGTACCTGGTAAGAAAAATGTAGAACGTGTCCTTGATAAATATTGTTAAGGTTGGGGAGACACTAAGGTTTGACTCATGTTTATGTGTGACTGTATACTTGGACAAAATGTATTGTCTATCCATCATTCATTTGGAATTTGAACCAACTGGAACCATTGCGATTCAGCGGTGTTGTGGCTCATTGGTTTAGACAGTTAACCAGTAGATCATGGTTTCGAATACTGATCCAACTGCCTGGGTGTGGGCAACTAGGTAGTGTCATTAGGCGTCACGGATTAACTATGGCTCATTGCCTACGGCATGAACGTGCATGTGGTTATTGAGTCCATTTCAGTTGTATTTCGGAAACTCGGCACCTATATCCTTAAAACTTATTTCCACTGAAACTAGGCTTGTATAGCAACTAGCTTATCCTTATTGGGCCAACAGAATCTTTTGAATATGGTTCATCATTTATTTCTGAAAGTCACCCCATTTTGTTTCAACCAGTATGTTGAAAGAATCCAACTATAAGGGCACTAAAATGCTTTCCCATCACACTGAGATGTATTTCGATAACTGGTCAAAGCAAAGGTTTGTAGATTATCGCTAGTAAATAATTCTGGCTAGTTTATTTTGAAGGTATGGAGTGGTTAATGTGATATCTGGTTATGCTAAATAGTCACAAATTTGGTGGAACTGGAAGTTTTAAATCTTATTAAATTTGTGCCAATGAAGTCACCATTCCATTCTATATTGTGGTCATACTGATGTCACTAACTGGTGACTTTGTTTATTCTGTTTCTATTTGTCAAGGTCCTCGAGTCACTCAATACTGTGGTACTGATTCTGTTTTTCATATTATTTATTGTTTTGGTTGAACTTTTGTGACGTTACTATAACCTGCAGTAAAGTGTCTCCGGACGTCATCACGATTAATTTTATCCCTAAGGCATCAGAATTAAAAAGTCGTCTTTGTTTTGCCAAGTTATATTTCATCAAATTTCCTTTTTCTGTTCCTAAGACATTTATTTTTACCCGAGATTTGTAGTTGTGCAATATTTCGCTTGTTTTACAATTTTATCCAAGGTTATGGTGAGAGACTGACTAGTAAAGCGTGTTCAGCTAGCGAAAATAAGTGACACGTGAAATAGTTTGGTGTCTTGAAATTGTATGGAGGTATATTCTTAGAAGAGTGATAACAATATCATTTTTGCTGGGCTGATACTTTTCAAAAAAACTGTATTGTATTTTGTATCATCAATTAAGCAATCCGGTGATTCCTAACTTCTACTTTCAGCGGGATGAAGACATGGATGAAGATGAAGATTTAGCTCAAGCGGAAACATATGCAGATTACATTCCGTCGAAATGTAAGCCTACATTTTATCCTATATTTCCACACAAGCCTAATGCGATACTCAGAGAGTATCTTTTGTGTTGCTGGCATAGTGGGACATCAATGATTATGTATGCTACAGGACCAGCATTAGGAGAATTAATGTCTGGTAGTTTTGCATACTACAATATGTGTATAGTGTTTTTTTTCAGTCGGATCAATAAATGTAGCTATATTTTTTTGTCGTGGTGTCACGGACCCCCCAAGACACTTTATTTTGTAGACTAAATATATCACAGTAAAACATTATTGCTTATTGGATTACGGTCTAGAGAAAAAAAGTATCATCTGTAGTCATGCCAAGATAACTCTACTACTTTGAGACAGCTTGTATACTTCTAGTTCTCTCTTCCCTAGTGATGGGGGTATTAGGATTTTCTGGCTAACTAGATCATGTACTGAGTGATCCCTGTGGCATATGTTTATTGTTGACTCAATAAACTAGGATTTGGCTATCAGTCTCTCTCCCTTCACCCAACTAAGCTAGTTTTTGAAACTATCACTTTAGCGATTCCTCCCCCTGTTTTATTATTTAAGATTGCATGGACAGCAGTAACTGGATTTTTCTCTAGATGCCTCTTCCTGCAGCATATGAGTATTGATTTTTCATGTCTCAATAGCTTAGTTGACCTCAGCTGACTGCTTTGACCTATGTGTGAGTATGTGACCCTACAATAATTACAAGGGACTTGGTAGACCATTGGTTTTGAGCTCTTAACTAAAACTAATGGGTCACGAGTTCGAGCACTACTCCACCTATCGACGTTTGGGAAGCCAGGTAGTATCATTAGACCCCACATAGTAGGTGTGGCTTGTTTCCTGCTGCACTAATGTGCACAAAGTTACTGAGTGGATTTCCATTCTTGACTCACGCTAGCAGTCAGGAACTTCATGGACTGATGCCACCTTTTGGTATGGTCACCCTGAGCCCTGTTCCAACCTAATCCCATATCCTCCATCAACATGGCACGTCGAGGTAGGCGGTGGCTTGGCATGTGCAGTACAAGCCACCTCAGTCGACTATGGTTAACAACCTCGTCAGTCGACTTGCCTTTCTTGTCTAGCCCCCTTCACTTTATCTCAATTGTGCTCACACGATGACTCCACCACATACGAAGATACCTATAATCAAAACTCTGTAATCGCTTCATGTCTTCCACTTTCAATGATCGTGTCTCGCACGGGTATAACAGAACAAAACGTAACTGCAGCGCACTATGTTCATCCTTTATTAGGTAGTCGCATATCTCGCCAGTCGGTGCTACAGGTGACACAAGTTGGTGAATGCCATACGGACCATTTGTATCCGAGCTGAGATTTCGTCAGCAGCCAGCCCTCTCGAGCTGATGTAACTATCTAGTTAGGTGAAGTGGTCGACAGATTCCACCACTTTACTCCCTGTTCTTAGGTTTTTGGATCACCCCAAACAATTTGGTTGTTTACAAAACCTCCGCTTGGACACAGAAAGCCCGTGTGACATTTGCCAACTTGCGTTACCTGTGGCGCCAACGAGATATCCGACTATTTATTGAAGAAAGAGTATGCTGCACCACAACCCATTCTGTCCCGTTGTACGGCTGTGGAACATGGCCGTTGAATGTAGACGACATGAAACGATTACAGGGTTTTGATCATGGGTGTCTTCGTGGGGTTTCTTCTATGTGGTGAAGTCATCGTGTGAACACAATTGAGATTAGGTGAAGGGAACTAGGCAAGAAAGGAAAGTTGATTGACCAAGTTGTTAACCTTGGTTGACTAAGGCTGCTTGGGCATGTACTGGGCATGCTAAGCCACCGCCTACCTTGGCGTGCGACGCTGGTGGGGAAGTCGGATTTAGCTGTAAGAGGGTTCAGGGTGGTCAGAAATGGTGCCAGTCGGTGAAGTCTCTCATTATTGGCCTAATTTGTATGGGGGCGATATAGACTACCTGGTTGGGGTGCTCGGGACGAAAGAAATCAGTGGTTGAGGAGTACTTGTGACTTTGCTGAAAATTGGTCACAATCGCTCAGATGTATTCAGTCTTTGACGTCTTCTAAAGCTTGAGTATTCGCATTAACTTTAATTTTCAGACTTTATTCTCTCACATTATCTTCTTTGATATCACTCCTTTTCTATCCACCTGTTCTTTGTTTAGTAATGTGAAGTGTGACAACTTAAGGTGGTGCAGCTGTGAGCGAGGTTCTACATTGGTTTTCTCGATTGTCCGTCAGTCAGTGAGGGGGAATGTGGTCTTTTTGATTGAGGTCCGCATAACTGCATCAACCAGCAGTTGAACACTGGGTGGTATGGTTCTGAATCAATGTCGGTGGCGGAGATGTATCCATGCATTATCTTCATCTTAATCGTTATGCTGAATTCAGTATTTCTCTTTCCTATCTTTTACTACTTTCTATCACTTTGACTGCTTCCTTTTCTATTTTGTGTCTTTTGTTTGATGTGCTAATATGAGGTGTAGCAACTTGCAGTGTTATACGATAGTATCTGTTCCTATGTTGGCATTGATGATGAGAATTCCCAAGCTCGAGTAAAACAGTTGCCTAGTGATCTTAGGATTTTGACGGGTTTCTTGCTGATATCAACTCGTGATAAAAACTATTTGAACCCTTAACTGTCAATTTGCGTAAATCGTTGTGTCTGTTTATCTAAATTCCATGAAAGGAGCTCAGAACGTTGAGAAAATCAAGGACTGAATATTACTTACAACGTTACGAAACTCTCCATTATCTTCTAACCTAAATTCTTATCTGATTCTACGTATTCATGACAGTAATTGTTGATAATTTTAACTTATCTGAAGCATTCTGAAATCTCAAGAATATCCACCACCATGCATCATCATCATCATCATTATCAACATAGGACCAGGCATTACTGCGTAACGGTCCGAGTTGCCACACCTCATATCAGCACATCAAGTAAAAAGGTAGTGAGGTGAAGGATGAAGATAAGTGAATGCAGTCAAAAGAAATATAAAGTACGAGAAGAAAGGAAAGAGGAGTGACAAAATAGTGAGATTCGGTATAGCGTTGTTAAGATGAGGATAATGTGTGTATACATCTGCGCCACTGACTTCGGTTCTGAGCCATATCACCTAGGGTCTCCAACCACTGGTTCCTCTTGTCCCGTGGACCCCAACCACCTAGTCTGCATCGTCCTACATGGCTTAAACCAACAGTCAGAGACTTCATACATTGGTGCCATGTTTTAGTCTGGCCACCTCGGGCCTTTTTCCAGCCTGAACCCACCTCAGCCAACATTGTGTGACGAGGCAATCGGTGACTAGGCATACGTAGTACGTGTCCCAACCATCTCAGTCGATGAAGGTTCACAACCTCGTCGACTGACTTACCTCTTCTCCCTAAAACTCTACACCTAACTTCTGCATTACTCACATGGTGACACCACGGAATACGTCCTATACTACGAAGGCAACGGTGGTCAAACACCTGAACCCTTTTTGTCTCTCCACTTTCAATGGCCATGTTTCACAGCCATACAGTAGAACAGAGCGGACTGCTGTGCAGTACACGCGACCCTTAATAGACAAACGAATATCACGGCGGCGCCATAGGTGGCGCAAATTGGCAAAAGCCAATCGAGCCTTTTGTATCCGTGCAGAAATCTCATCGGCAACTAACCCACCGGGTTGATCCTACTTCCCAGGTAAGTGAAGTGGTCAACACACTCAACCACTTCACTCTCTATTGTTAACCGCGGTACCGCTGAAGACCAGTCCTGGAGCAAAAATTTGCATTTGGGTGGTGAAAATCGCATCCCAAACATTCTCAAATTCCCACTCAAAGTGTTCAGAAGACTCTGCATCTTGTCAGCGTCTTCACCTAACAGGACTATGTCATCTGCATATTCTAGATCTAAGGAAAATTCACCTGTGATCCGGTCAACGTCTTTGTAATTAGGTGACGAGAGGGAAACCTCCATAAGAATATCTATGATAAAATTAAATAAGAATGGGGATAGTGGGCATCCTTGACGGACACCACTTGATGAGTATAGCTCCCTGGACAACTCACCATAGGCTCTAACATGCCCACAAGTGTTCGAGTAGAGAGCTTTCAATAAGGTGATGTACTTACTAGGCACGCCTTTCAGTGACAGACACTGCCATAAGACTTCTCGATCAACGGAGTCAAATGCCGCCTTCAGGTCGAGAAATACAGCTATTGTCGGGCGTCTGTAAGCATGCCTATGTTCCAGGACCTGGCGCAGTGTGAATATTTGGTCGATACATCCACGGCCAGGTCTAAAGCCTGCCTGGTTTTCTCGGGCTTGCTGTTCCCGAGCTCCACTCAGGCGTCGGAGAATTATAGAACTTAGGATCTTAGACACTATGTTTGTCAGGCTGATTCCTCTGTGGTTATCACAAGAGGACTTCTCGCCTTTCTTGAAGACTGGGATGATCAGTGACTTAGACCAGTCGGAGGGGATCGTATTTGATTCCCATATACTGGCTAACACTTCCGTTAGCCTGACTAAGAGAACTCTACCACCATTCTTGTATACCTCAGCAGGTAGTCCGTCTGGTCCTGCTGCCCTTCCCCGTTTCAGGCTACCTACCGCTTTCTCAACTTCTTCTAGTGTTGGGGGACCTGTCTCTATGTCCCATTCAGGGTCCGACTGGATAGCGGGCAGCGCAATGGTGGCTGGAGGCCAGTTAAACTGTTCCTCAAAGTGTTCTGCCCATCGTCCCAGTCGCCTTCCCTGCGAGTGAATCGCCGATCCGTCCTTCTCCGCTATAACCTCACTAACTGTTGTTGACCATTTCCCCCCAGTCTCCTTAATAAGTCTAAATAACTGTCTACTGTTACCGATCGCCGCTGCCTTTTCCATCTCTTTAGCCTTTGCTGCCCACCACTGTTCACGATCGTTGCGCAGACTTTTCGTCAGTTTATTTTTAAGTTGCGCTCGCTCTTCATTGTACTCAGAGCCTGCAGGGATGCATTCACGTGCATCCATTAGTTTGGAAGAAGCTGCTGATATCCACTGGCTCTTTTTAGCCATTATCTTGGAGTCGGCTACAGTCTCCAGTGCTGCTTTTACAGTAGACTGAAGATGGCACCAAGCTTCTTCTGGATGAGTGACAGTCTTTTGTTCCGATAACTGCCTAGCCAACTTCTCACTGAACACGGCTTTGGTGTTTTCGTTGTCCAGCAGAACTCGTAGTGGTTTTGTTGCCAAATTTTTTCTACGTCCATTGAGACGCAGGCATATACGTGCTCGGACCAACGCATGATCGCTGTCCAAACACGTACTCCAGAAGGAGCGGCAGTCTTCCACCGATCCTCTCCAGCGATGACTAATAGCAATGTGGTCTATCTGTGTCCATCGCTGAGTCGAGCTCGGTGGACGCCAGGTCAGACAGTGCCTTTCTTTATGTCTGAAATTTGTGCTGGCTAAAAATAGGCGGTTATCTGAGCATAGTTGTAATAGGCGATCACCGTTATCTGTACGTTCAGCTGGGATTCCGAAAGTGCCACCTAAGTGCCTTTCTGCCTCACTCAGTCTACCCACCTGTGCGTTGAGGTCACCTGCAACAACCACTACGTCCGAACGTTTGGCTTTCGAGAGGAGGTTAGACAGTTTATGGTAGAACTCGTCCTTCACTTCATCCGAACTACAGTCAGTGGGTGCGTAAGCAGAGATTACAAAGAGACAACGGCGAGTCTCACTATTCCTTTTAGTTCTCACTGTGCCGTTCAGCCTCATAGCGCAGAGGCGACTATCAACTGGGATCCAGTCTAGTAGTGAGTTTTCTGCCCTGGTGCTTAATGCTATACCTACACCTGCAAGACCACGAGAGCTAGCTATCGAATCTCCAGAAACTCGAAGGGTGAATTTTGCAGATTCACCAGATTGGTCAGGAGAGGTCAGGTGAATAACCACACTTGGGTCCTGTATGCGTGTCTCACAAACACAGCACACATCCATGCCCGAGTTGCTAGAGTCTTTGCCAACGAAGCCTGTTGGCCAATTTGACGGAGGGTGCGGACATTGAAGGCTCCAATATGTAATTTGGAGCGTGGTTTAAGGAGACCAGGGATGCTGTTCTGTGGACTCAGATCGTTGTCGAAGGCTGCAGAGGTAGGAGAAATTGAAGATGATGCAGCATCATTAATTAAGAGACGTGAAGGAAGATTAGAAGGTAATGATGGAGGAGGAGGATAGCAGTCAGAAGAAACTTGGGTGCTGACAGAGTTGTGAGGGCGGTTGACACTTCCCGGCTGCCCACACCGTGGAAGGCTATTTCTTCTTAAGGTACCTGAAAGAGATTTGTGTGACCGCAGAGCCCATCGGACATCTGCTTGAGGCCTGTCACACCCAGCCTTTTGAGTATGATTATTTTGAATTTTTGTATTTTTGGGGCCGGATGAGCGAAAGGAAACGACAAGTGAACCAACACCGCCGGCCCGGCAGACCGTGGGGCGTGGTGGAGTGTGTTATTTTTGGGGCCGACCTTTTCTAACCCCCCCTTCCACTGAGAAGGCAGCATCAGCTTGGCACTGCTGGTCATCCAAGGGAAACACCTTACTGCTGTCACACCCCATCCAGCTAGCAGCAGTACGACTTCGCCCTCAGACCCCCATCATAGTGTAGCAATTTACACTATAACGGTAACTGCTTTTCGTCTAACCACTACCCAACAGACCTTTCTGGTATGGTAGGACCTCGAGGGAACAAGCGTTCCACCAGCATAGCTCGTTGGGTCATTGTGATATGCAAGCCCGACCACCACGTCAAGGTAGCAGCTATCGGTCGGGCCACCACCATGCGAATAGACCTCGGTCTATGTACATAAAGTAACTGTGTCATAATCCAGTCCATGGGATCTGATAGCAGCATCACTCCTTAAGCTGTCATAAATCCACAGATAACTTTATTACAAGGTAATATCATTTCAATAAGCGTCGAAAATCATCAAGTATTGACATCCCCCATCTACTCGAACAGTTCTCATCGTTATACACCTCTGTCTTTTCATTTGCTTGATTTGTCCTCTAGCCTAGTTAATATTAACAAAAGTTTACTCCATAAACAGTTTTTCTAAGGTATTATTGCGAGTCCGAATCCCGGTGGGAACAACATCACTCACTGGGAGGCAGGTACACTTAGCTGAAGAGTTCTAAGGTCCTCCTGGAAGGAATAGATTCTGAAACCAACGCAGTGTATTGCGACAGCCATAATCCAAGGAAGTAGCAAAAGAATGTTAGGTTATTAGCGTACTAACCACCACAGAATCAAATCCTATTCACTAAGTAGTTGAGATCAGTAGTTTCCGATTTTTAATGCGTTTCACTGAAATGGATCTACTACATACTTCACCTTATAGTGTTTAGTTTTCTAGAGACCATTTAATTGTATATCCACCATCGGATTAAGAAACTGTTATAAGCGTAATTGAAGAGTCAAGAATAAATGATTTCAGTTATTGTGTTTTATATTGTCATGAGTATCAGAAACATTAAATTTATGTTGCCTATTAAATCTTTTACCTTGAAAATGAAGATAGCTCGAAATAATTTTCACTACTTAACCAGTATGGTGTGTATGCTAGTGTTAATTGAAACTGGTCAGTATGATAAGATCCTAATAACACTTACCACCTTAAATACTTTGGCAACTGATCTATATTATTATCATTTTAGTGAAGTATGGAAGAAAACACCCGGATCCCGTAGTTGAGTCAAGTTCTCTTTCCAGCGTATCTCCTCCAGATATTCATTACCGCCTGTGCCTCCCAGATGAAGTAATTGAAGGTGCATGTCTTTCAGCATTACAACTGGAAGCCGTGGTGTATGCCTGTCAACGTCATGAGTGTATTTTACCTAATGGTCAACGTGCTGGATTTTTAATCGGTATGTATTACTTTTTCCTTACTGACTGTAATCCATCACTTAGCAAATTATTCTTAAAGAAAGCTTTTCAATTAAACGAGTTCTAAAGATTGATTTTTATTGTGGATTCACCTGCTTTCTGTTTCCTAACAAACACTTCACGTGGCGCATCTCACTTTAGTCTGTTTGTGAAACTTTGTTTGATATAGAGAGTTCTAGCTTAACCTTTTCGATGTCTTTTTGTGCTAAATCACCCACACAATCATATTACTGCTTACATTCACTGGTAAAATCCAGTCGATAATTCTAAGGATTAACAGGCTTTTCCAGGGCGTAATGCTCATTATTACTCAATAAGCAAGGTTATTTTGAAACACTGGTTGGTTTTTAGTTTTGCACTTGCCATCACAGCAGCTTCCTTACAATTCTCACTCTTTTCTGGCTCAGAAGCTTATCGAAAGAAGCAGAAAGGTGGTCAGTGTATTCAAAAATGCCATCGGGTGAAAGAAGGCTGAATCAATCTGGTATCTGTTAATGTAACATAGCTCTGTGGGTGAGGTGATAAAGGTCATGGGACTTGTTGAAGAGGATGTCACCAGCTATGTCTCAGAATCGAAGCTAATATCAGTTGTGCTGTTATTGGAAAACGGCTTGAGGCTAATGAGAGCTTACTGAATGCATCGTGTATGGATTTCTGTAACCATCCTATTACTCTTAAACCCTACTTTTTCCTGTGTATTTTATCATGGAATTATATTGCTTTGTATAACGCATTTCTTTGTGTTTATGCTATATGGAGTTTGTTTTTTGTGATAAATTGCATAAATTGGTTCACATCATAGCAAGTAGCCGTCATAAGAGGTGACTTCTGTAGTTTTGACCTAAAAGCTGTAAATTCAGCTGATCAGGTATTACGCTCGATACTGAAGATCAGATGGTGAGAAAGAATAAGCATCAAGAAACTCTGGCCTGGCAACGAACCAACGAAGAACCTATCACCCAACAAATATGCAGAAGGAAGTGGAGATGAATTGGGCATACACTGAGAAGGCCGACTGGAGACATCACGTGCCAGGCCCTCGAGTAGCATCCAAATGGGAAACAACGAGTTGGTTGTCTGAGGGTGACATGGAGGAGATGATGTGAGGAAGAAATGAGAGCTTGTGGGCAGTCGTGGCGCCAAGTTGTAAAGACTGCAGAGAAGAGTGCAATGGCGACGTGCTACTGAAGCCCTATGTTCCACTAGGAACTCAAGTGTAAAATAATATAACATATAACCTGAGTGTTTCTGGCAGGCTTTCGTTCCTTTTGAGTTATCTCACTTTGACACTTTCCCTCTAGAAGTATTAACTGAAGAAATAATGACTCCTGTTTAACCTACAGCTTCTTAACAAGACTGCTGGGATAATTAATGTAGCGTTATCATATGTAGAGGCTGTAAACCTCTTATCGGTCATCTTTTTTCGCTCGCAGAGTATTTCTGTTGATGTTCATTTATTGTATATTCTGTTCTGTTTCCTTCACACTCTAGTAATTAAAGTTCTTGCCTTTGAAATATTTGTTGATATTTTTGCTTTATTATGAATCATGGTCATACGTGTAAGATTAGTTGTTGAGAAATTAAGCGGTTGTACTTCTATACTTGGTATGGTTACATTTTATATTCAATGTGTTGTGTGAATGAATGCATAAATTGATTTTACTTCTATCACTTTAAACCCTCTGATCATATCAGCGTCATTCCATTTCAGTGGGTTCTGTTGATCTTCCCTATTTTGAACCGTCTACACAATACGTTTACTTAAATAGAACCACATATGTTGGTAAGCTGACTCTGTGAGAAGTGTAGATTGTGGCTAATTTAAAGCATTGCTTATAAACAGAACATATTTTTTCATGAACATCAAAATTTCTTTCTATACTACTTTTATTTGTCCATATGATGATATTGCGGGCGAATTGTAACCATATTTCTTAAAGTGGTGCATTTGCTTGCTCCACTTCAGGCGACGGAGCAGGTGTGGGGAAAGGTCGCACAATTGCCGGAATACTTTATGAAAATTATTTACGTCATCGTAAAAAGGCCATTTGGTTATCAGTTTCAAACGATCTCAAGGTCGATGCTGAACGTGATCTGCGTGATATTGGCTTGGGAAAGATCAAGGTTCATTCTTTAAACAAGGTGAGATAATTCGCCTTGGACTGTTTGAAGTCCGTTCATTGATCATCCTGATGTTTGTATTTAGTTTTTTTTTGTATTTACAATTAAAAATTGGCCAGAGGTATTAGCTCTAAGAAAGGTTGGTTGCATCAGTTCCTATTCTATCTTTATTCTTTTGCACTAACTAGTATAAGATAGTATCATTATTTTTTGAATGCTCCTTAGATGTTCAAAGAGTGTGTTCCGGCAGAACAAATTTTTCTAGACTAAACGAAAACTCTAAAAAAGACATCAAATCAGGTGTTCAAAGTTGCTGTAAAAAACGTCTTTAAGAATTCGTAGTACATCACACTAAGTATTCGTTCAGTGGAAGATATTATTGACCAGAATAAACGATTGGTGGTTGTGGTGGCTTGACTAAACGGTGAATGTTTGTCTTTTCGTAATATAGGTAAGTTATTTATGTGTAGAACGCAAGTTGGGTCAGTCTTGCGAATGACTACAGGAGTAAATCTCCAGACAAGATATCATACAATATCCACTTATTACAGCTTTAACGTTTAAGCCATGTCACTCAGCAGTGGTATTTCTTCAGCTAAAACTTGTTATCTTGCTTATTGTCTCTAGCATTATTGATCGACTAGTCAGCGTTTACACATGGTGTCAGAGTTGAAATACCTCATATCAGCAGTTCAGGATATAAGACAGCAAAAGGAAATGAAATAAGAAAGTCACAAGAAGGCATAAGATAAGAAAATGAAGCTAATAACGAAGTGTGTGCAACGTGACGATTAAAGTAAAGGTAATTTGTAGAGGAATCTGCATCACTGCAATCTGTCCTCAGCTATATAATGTAGATTCTCCGACCATCAACTTTGGTTTTCTTGTTAATCCTAACTTGTATGTCTTCGTTTTCCTACACGACCCCCACAAACATTCAAATTGATAGATGGATATGATGTAGTTTAGGTATCCTAAACGTTTACTACCCTAGCCTCGTTTCAGCCAACGTTCTCTGGAGTAAACGGTATCTGGGTATGCATAACACCTATTCATACCACCCTAGTTTATCAGGGTTCTCATCATCCGACTTGGCTCTTTTCCCTAAGACTACAACAGCTCTACATTTTAAGTGTGATGGTTCCACCACGCAATCAACACTTCCAAGCTAGCGGTAACTCGGAATCTTGAGCTTATATTATATTCCCTACTTTAATGATCATCTCACAGCGATAGGGTTAGATCAAGCGAAATACAACAAGTGGTAGACGATCGGTTATCTTACCGGAGTTAGCAGAAGGCAGTCGAGCACTTTGCATCGACCCACCGACTCCATAGTGCTAATCCAACTTCCTGAATAAGTGAAGTAGTCATCAACTTTAACCACCTCACTCCTTTTTTTCACAAAAGGCATTAACTCTGACTAGTCCCGGAGTCTGTGTATGCATTTCTATGGTGAGAAACGCATTACAGGCACTTTTCAACTATCAGTCGAATTGTCCAAAAGACTGCATTCCGTCAGCAACTTCTCTTAACGGGACGATATAGCCTGGATGCTTCAGTCAAGAAGTCACTTACTACAAGGGGAATACGAAGACTGTTCCATCGCATAAGACACAGATGACTTGAATATAAAATGAAGTCTAATAGTACGCTTTCTGATTCGGTCCTCATCAGTCATTCAACCAGACTCAACGCTGGATCTAGCATTACTGCGTTGTAGTCCAAGTTCGCAACACAAATCAGTACACCCCACGTGTTAAGGCACCAAATTAAGACGAGGGAGAAAGTAGTCGAGATGGTTGAAAGTCATGAAAAGAGAACCAGAAGGAATGAAACAATGGCGACGTACAGTATAACGATTAGGATAAAGATATTGTGTAGATGCACCTTCATCGCTGAGATCGATTGAGCCATATGACCTAGAGTTCCCAACCACCGATTTCGGCTGTCACGTGGATCACCCTACATTGCTCAGATCAGTAGTCAGACTCCATGGAGTGATGTCGTGCTTTAGCTATGTCGCTTCCACCTTTTCTACCAGCCTGAACCCACTTCAGCTAGGATTTTACGAAAAGATAGATGGTGACTAGGCATGTGTAACGCATCCTAGTAATTTGAGTCGATGGAGGTTTACAACGACAAGAACTAATTTGCCTCTTCTACCTAAACCTCTACAACTCACTTGTGTACTACTGACGTGATGGTTTCATGACAGACGGGCGATGCTACGAGGTGAATGGTGGTTGAACACATGAAGCCTCCTTATTCACTCCACTTTTGAAGGTTGTGTTGGTGTTATGTTGTAGTAGAAGGGAGTGAAGGAGAGTGTAGTGCTTTTGTTAACTTGTATGCAATCGGATGATAGACAGCTCTATAGATGGCGTCAGTAGGTGAAGGTGGAGCGAGTCTTTTGTATGCGTGTGAAGACTTCATCTTTTACACTCCCGGAAACGATGATTCGGCTATTTTAACAAGTGAAGTGGTCAAAGTGCTTATCCGCCTCACTACCGTTTGTTAGATGGAGTATGAATGTAGACCAGTCCCAGAGCGACAATTTGCATATGGGAGGCGAGAAACGTATCCCAGGCATTCACAAACTGCGATCCAAGATGCCCGAGAGACTGCATCTATATGATGTACGCACACTTGTGAGATCAAAAAAAAGTACCTGAGGAATGTATAGAAATTTTGCATATGTATTTTGCGAACTCAGTTGAGATTCTATGAGTACCAACTGTTTTTGGTAGGTTCAATAATCGCTCGAGACTTCAGATTTCTGGCTTCGGGAGGTAGTATGATTTTGCGTAGGATGTAGACGTTGACAACTTATGTGGTTTGGTGCCTTGGTTCCAGGAGACCACGGATATGGTTCCGTCCACTCATCATTGTCGAAGTCTGCTTAGTTGGATGACGTTTTAGACTGTTTAAAATCATGTACAAAAATCCAAAGTAAATCTGGGATGCAGCGAACTGGGGGTTGTGATATTGATTGTCAAGAACTTTAGTTCTAATCGGAGTAAGAGCACTACCTAAGTGGGAGGTTGCCGCTTGTGTTACGTGTAGAGGAATGTGAATTAGTAAGAATATTCGTAGTAACCTATGTGATTGATCGTAAAGCTCAACTGACATTTATTTTAGGTCTATCACACTGCCATTGTACGTTCTGGTTTGGTTGTTTCACGTGATTAGAATACTCTTTACGGTTGCAATCGAAGGATCATAAGACAGAGGTCAATGTGCTATTTTACAGATAAGCCTTACCTTATCCTTCCTCACAGTAAAGCAAAATAAGTATCACGATGGTATACTGCTTTTCCGCGATAAACCCTTACTGTTGTCATACTCTGAAGGGCTGACAGCGCGGCTTCGCCCTCTGTCCACCTTCATAGCTTTAATTATTTGTACGGTCACTATCAGTCAGTGGATCACGGGTTCGAACCCCATCTCACCTATAGAGTTTTGAACAACTAGGTAATATCACTAGCCTTCACGCAATAGGTGTGGGTCACTGCCTATTGCACGGATGTGAACGAGGTGGCTGGATGCGTTCCGTTTCACTTCGCTTGTTTCACGGTGACCATAACTACCCTTAGTGTTTCTTATTTCTAGCTGTCTTTCTGGTACAGGGGGACTTCAAAGAGTACTCTTCCGAGCCTAGCATGTCTCATTGAGTCACGGCGATAGACATACCTGACCATCACGTCATATTATACACGAATAATGTCGTTGACCTTTTTCTTTGTGTTATTACTGGATGTTAATAATGTGAAACTTTTATAACACAGGCATTTCGATGATGCTCGGTCTGCACGCAAAAGGTTCTTCGATAGTTGTAGATAGATCGTTAGCTGCATTCTCTCTTCGCAACCGTATCACTTAGTAATTGATGATTTCACTTTATTGTATGTTTTATCAGGCGTATATTAATTTTTTCAGCATATGTAAATGCTTTCATTAATTTGAGAGTAGCTAGCAACAGGAACCGTTTTGGCTTAGAAAAAGTTATTCGTCAAGTATTTTTTTTATACATCAGGTGATTCCCTGATTTTGTTTTTGTCTTCACATCGAAATTTCCAATCATTCTCGCAAATAAACACTTTGTTAATCCGTAAGCTTAATATTTTCTCATTTTTGGTGTAACTCTGATTACAACTGTACAGCGTTTCGAAATTATTTGTCGAACAGATTCGCTTTACTGAATTGCCTTTTCGTAATTCTTCACTATCGGACGGGACTATTTTGATGGTGGAAAAAGTAGGAAAGATCCCATGACAATTAAAGAACTCAATGAGTTTATGCAATTTTCTGTCAAGATTGATATAACGAATATTGGAATCAATTTCTTGAAAAGTTGTTTACGGAAACGTTAATAACGGGGATCATTGTAGAAAATTCTTTGTCATAGTCACATCCATCCAAATTGTCGTTCTCTGAAACGTCTCACTCGATGAGGCAAAATCTGGATTACTCAAAATTAAATTAAACTTTCGTTAGACCCTAAGTTTTGTTTTGTTTTCTACTTCTCTCAATGAGCCTGACATTAAAGTTCATTTTGATTCAGACAAACAATCTGATTTCAACCACCAACAAGAGTCTTGAGGAATTTATATCAACGATTTTGAACTACTATCTTCATTATCTGAACGTAAAACCAAATACTAAGAGACTATTGTCCGAAAAACATAAAGCCTAGCTATATAAACTTTTGAAGAATAAGTAAGTGTTGTTGGTCCCTCCAAATGAGGGCTGGGGCATAGTTTTCACAAATTGCAAAGACTATCTTGATAAGCTGTCATCTATACTAGCAGATGAGAGTAAATTCTCGAAAGGAGAGTTTCGGAAAAATGCAACTGAACAAACAGAATAAAACCTGACATGAGTGTCAACGATAATGAAAGACGAATCGATTATCAGTGCAGGGCTGTTTCAACGACTAAAACTGTCCGGTTCAGTAATTCCTCGACTCTACGATCTTTCCAAAGTTTATGAGAAACACGTTCTTTGTTTGATTGTTGACATGAACAGTTCATCATATCATGAGATTGCTAAATGGTAAGACGAAATCTCTCAGCCGGTGGAGAATCAGACCAATAATCACAGTACACCTGACCCCGTCGATTTCGTTAACTGCACAAGTGATCTCAACGTTTGTGGTAAGCGTGTGTTATCACTGGACATCACATCGCTCTTCACAAATGTCCCTTTGACGGGGACGATGTTTCTATGAGATTATACTGAGGTTAGCAAGCTTGAAATTGGGATTCCTAAACGTTATCTGAAGGAATTGGTCCTACGATGTACCTTTAATATACAGTTTAGATTCAACAGTGAACTTTGTCGACCAACAGATGAGGTGTGAATGGGTTCACCATTGGGTCCTCTCCCAGCTGATTGCTTCACGAGAAATATAGAGAACAGTAAAGTGTCTTCATTGATCGACCAATTCCATATATATGAGAGATACATGAATGACATCTTCATCATCATGGAGTAGGATAGTAACCTTGAAGAAATACTGTGAAAGTTCCATGAATGTCATAAGTCAATTAAATTTGACAAAAAAACCGAGAATAACTCAGAATCCCACTTCCTAGATATTCTTTTGAGTAGAAGAAATGATAATTCCCTAAGGAGAACGATTCACAGAAAATAAACCTGTAATGATTAGTGTACTCATTTTCAAAGGTGGGTTCCACTAGTCAGCAATTGCAGTCACCAAGCACAAGAATAAGAAGAATTTGTATGGATGTTATAGTAAATGAGGGACTGGAAGTACTTTGAAATGTGTTCATCGAGAATGGTTATCGTTCAAGATTCATTGAGGGGAAAATGTGACCCAAGCACTTCAGAGAAGAAACTCATAGCTCGAGAGAAAACACTTTATGAATATTGGATTCAAGGAAGATAGATTGGCAGCGACACTGCAAAATCGACTGTATGAAGCACTGAAGAAAATCTCCTTTTCCGCCTAGCTTCCGATTGTTTTTTCCAATTGACAGCTGATTTGAGTGTTTAAAGAATAAACTACCGCTTTGGACCACTCCAATCTGTCTTTACCACTTCACCTGCTCTTGTGGAGCTGGTTAAATAGGTAACACAAAGTGTTCTATCCAAACGCGTCTCCGAACAATATCTTGTATGACTGTCTAGAATAGAGTATAAAGCCATCAATAGCTCGATTCTTGAGCATTTTGTTATTTCAGGTCAATGTGTTACACGAGAGTCTTCTTTCAAAGTCATTTATAGAGTGAAGGCAAACATTTCAAAGGGAGTGAGTATTCGCCACCTAAACACTGCAGAAGCTCTGTCGAACCAGCATTAATAAAAGATAGATTCGCTGTCTAATTTTGCCTTTGTCGTAATTTCCTTAAGACATTTCTTTCATTTATGTGTTTATTCACCATAATCCTAGCTTTTATCCCCTTGTGGCCTTACTGACCGTTTTTGATGACTTTGTATTTACCGACTAGCTATTGGTGGATATATATATATATATATATATATATATATATATAGTTGTAACTATAATTGCGATGTACAGCTTTTGAAGATGATTCGTCGGAGAGAAAATTTCCTTTACTGAATTGTCTTTTGTCAATTTTTCATTTTATTGTTTATATCAGTATGTATCACTTGAATAGGCAGTTGCAAATCATCAGCTTATTAACATACGGTTGGTTAATATACATCACACGTTTGTTTGAAAGATATTCATGTCTATACATGAGAACGTTGACCTTTTTTTAATGCTTATTTGTGTAGGATTCATGCTACGTTAGAAATCTCAGTGGTGTTTTCCTACCTTTTAGTTCAAATATGCACGTATTTCGGGTAAAGCTAATGGTCGTGTAAAGAAAGGTGTTATTTTCTCTACATACTCTTCATTAATTGGAGAAAGTCAAGGCAGTGCCAAGGCGAAATACAAAACTCGGTTGAAACAATTGGTTCATTGGTGTGGAAAGAAATTCGATGGTGTGGTAAGCCAAATATAACTATCTTTAATCTTGTTTAAATCATTTTTCAAGTGTTCATAGAATTGTTAGGATGCTGATCAGTTGATTGTGTGATAAATAGATTTTGAGGTGCTAGCTGTTAGGAGTTTATCGACAAGAGACCCTGATCGTAGGTGGATTTCGTACGTGTTACCACTTAACAGTAAAGCTTATTTTAACCATGAGGAAAGTGGTATTCCCTTGATGATTTTGATCTGCTAGGTCATTCATTTCAGTTGTCTATTCCATGGTGTTCTGCACTACAATGTCACATCAATTATGTTACTGGTCACATGATAAACATGATAGATACACATTTAGTTCATTTCTGAGCACTGAGAACTAAACAGCTAAAATTGTTATCCACTTGTGACCATTTGGTGTGTACCTTTTCATTCTAGTGAATTAAATTAGTGCTATCTTAAAATGTTCTCATGCTTTATGGGCCCCATAGGCCTACAAACCAGTTTGAACAGTAAGTATGATGAGTGATATTTTGTAAATATCAATATTTACACAGCATTTTTGTCTGTGTAATTTATCCTTTTTGGTGAAATAAATCCGTCCATCTTTCCTGTCTACTCAGATAATGTCTAGTACATTAGTCAACTTTTTTATTGCATAATTGAAGTTATACTGCACATAATAGTGTGTTAATGTCACAAGTAACCTCAATAAATGTACCTAAGAGGTTAGTTACAACCACTAACTATCTATCAAATTTTTCTGCATTATTAGTAATCTGTATATTTCAAACTTGATGTTTTATAACTCATCTCACTTGTTGAACGAGTGTGCTGTACAGCGGCTCACTTTCGCCTTCTCAAGACATAGTCGCTGTTGGGGACAAACGTGATAAGATATATAAATTTTCGTTCCTTTTGTTGTACTACTCATTTGTATTGGGATCATAAAATGAACTGTAAAGTCGTAAGACGATAAAGTATTTCAGCCGACTACGCTTCAAATGTTCATCGTTTAGTGCAAGTGTAACATCGGAGCACTGGTAAAGTATAATTCTGTATGAGATTGCCTTTTTAATATACCACATAGTGATGTAGTATTCTTTACGGGATGGTGTTTCAAACAGAATTTATTGTTCTTAATTATATCATCGAATAATTCAACACATTACATCAGTTGATAAAGCCTACCTTTGGTTCAGCCTCATAGAATAATGTAGACCTGGTGACTGAAGTCTTCCAGATATTAGAAATCAATGCTTGGGCAGTCATTATCAACTCAATATTGGTTACAGTGTCTGAAATGTATTAGAAGTTTTGGATACATGTAATAGCCGTCACTTATTTGGATTTCCTGCCCACCTTTACTTCTTATTTATTTCCATATTATCACTTTTTCTCTTCACCCTTTCTTTCTATATCATAGTGTGTTGTGATAGCTTAAGTTAGTGGAATTTCGCTCTGTGCTGAATCAATTCATTACTTTATACTAGCGATGTCATTCAGTTGACCTATTAATAAAAGCAGTGGAATGTGTTGAACATATTTAATGGGCGGGGGGGGGAGTGGGTTTGACATCTTAATTTCTGTTGAAACACTGTGAGAACCACTTTGAAGAACAGTTTGTTTGACGTCCTGCTTCAAATCCGGCCTCATATTTAAACAAAGCAAGAAGAACCTAAAATGATATGTCTCATATTTTATATGGTCGTTTCACACTGACCCATTCATCAAATTCGAAGTTCATAGTGAACTCAAAGTACTAAGGTACTATAGTGTACTTGACCCTGACAACTTACTTCCTATCTCTTATTTTGACATTTTGTGGTAGACAAATCAAGGAACCTATTGAACTATTGGAGAATGTATGACTTACTGAAAGTGTGCTATCACTCTAGAATAAAACAGTCATCGTTCCCTTTTTCAGAACGTTCTATCTTGTCACAGAGGTGCCAGTCTAATATTGTTTACGAAGAGAATATTGTCTACTGGTATGCTTTGCAAGGTATGTGAAAAACTGACTGACAAATGGCAGACCGGTTTACGTTGAGGTCATGGATGCATTAGTCACTTGTTCACCCTCCATCATATTCTTGAACACCATCACATATATTACAGGCTAAAGGTATCATGGCCCCCTTCATCTCGTTAGACAGTACCGTACTTTAAAATTGCGTGTTGGAAGGAAAGGTATCACTTGGGAGTTCATAAACACCTTAACCCCACACAAAAGCCTAAGGTAGAGTGAAACCAATCAATAGTTAGAGACTTGGTGACGGCTGAAAATCTGTCACAGTAGCGCAGATGTATTCACTTGCAACATTTAAATCTTGAAAATATCGACTGATCTTGGTTTTCAAACTTGTTTTCCTGCCATACACCTTTGTCTACCTTTCTCTACCCACTCGTTCACATGGTACTGTGATGTGTGCCAACTTGAACCGATGCACTTGTATGCGAGGTTCTACATTGATTTTGTCTGCTTGTCTGTCTGGTAGGATGTTCTTCCAAACCAGCAGACATAGTTGCCTAATTTCACCATCCCTTCTAATTTGGCCAATAATAACGTCATTGAAAGGGCTTGGAAGGTGTGTGATGGTGTGTATTCGTGAACTGTGACATCATGAAGGTTACCAAGATCACATTTAATCAGTTGACAATCAGTGTTCGAAAGGATAGTACATACCTTTAAGAGTGGCGTTAATGCGCACCCTTTCAGGTAAATCAGGGAAAGTAGTCGAGCAGAGTCTTATATAACCAGTTAAATGAGTACTTTAAAAAGTATGACTGATAAGACATCCTATTGTACATAGAACATGGGAAACATAACCTGACTTGATGGTCAGGGTTGCAAATCACAATTTCCCAACGAGCTATGCTGATGAGATGCTTGTTCCATCGAGGACCCACCATATTAGAAAGATCTGTTGAATGGTGACCAGATAAAAAGTACTTAGTGTTACACTCTACTCTATGATTGGGGTCCAAGGGCACAGGACGAGAGCGTGACACCAGTCAGGAGTTTCTCGCAGATGACCAGCAGTCCAATGCTGTTACTGCCTACCTTCAGGGAGAGGGGTTATAAAATGTAGACCTTAAAAACCACCTACTCCCATCTACGCCACGATTGATTGAAGTAGTTGGTTTTCACTCGGTCGCTCATGGGTTCGAGCACCGCCCTCTCTACTGAGGTTTGTACAGCCCTCACACACCATGTGTGGATCATTGCTTAATGCTTGAACTTAACAAGGTTGCGGAGTAAGTTTAGTTTAGTAGTTGACGTATAAGTATGACATGCTAGTATTGGCGATACAAGCTCATAGTCAGAGATGAAACTAATCTAAAGAACAGCTGCGTGTAACCACCTTCAGGCAGATACCCCTTCGGCTCTGCGTTTATATACTACCCCTTCTTTTTCAGATACCTTAAGGAGAACTAGCCTTGCACAGTGCAGTCAGATGAGAAGTATTAATATCCTTCATGACTGTCATAAACTCTGTCTCTTATTGTTTGTCGAAAGTCAGTGCGGGATACACTAATCTGGATTACTTTTTGTGCTGTTATGACGTTAGCCTCTCTCTTGAGGGTCTGTGCAAGAATTGTTTGTCTCTAAAATTTGGCTTCTATCCGATGACTTTCAGTGATAATACATATGTTCCAACACTTATCTCTACAATATGACTTGAAGCCTATGAGAAACATGTTATGTAAGTTATTCTGAAATACTTCGGTGTTTTATGAAAGTCGTTACTCACTTATCTATGTAATCTTAGGACCTTATCTTCGATATAAGATATGTGTTAGTAATGTTATCCTAGTGACTTCATTACCATTTGTTGTTTGTCAAACCTAGAACTGATTAGTAGAAGAAGCAAAAAGATGGTCATTATGTGATGTGGTCCAGAGGGGTTTAGTGCCTAGTGACTTGGAAACTGAGAGGTCCTAAAACTCAGTGACTGAAAGTGGATATCATTTATGACTCTGAAAAGAAAAACCCTATTTTCTGTCCTCCATCATTTATGAAGTCTGTCACATTATTTAACCGACTGATTGTCCATTTGGTCTGTTTTCTTTCTATACCACCTTGCGATTTTTGTTCACAGTTTTTTGGCTTTCTTTCTAGTACTAATGTATACAGTTTATATTTTTAAATAAAGAAGTAATGTAATGCATTGTGCTGGAAAGTGAAGTGATTACATTGTTTTTTCTTCTATTCACACATTCTTCATACCTACCAGATAAAAAAGATTTCATTGGTAGAGTAATGAGTTTTTGTTATAATTTTCAAGTATGCACAGCATATTTTAAACTGAAATCAGTACTAATCACAAAAGATTTTTGTATTCATTAGGGTGAAATTTGAAGAAATAAGAATAAAATATTATTTTCTTTATTTTTCTATAGGCATTTACCTGAAATTTTCATTTACCCCTTATAAATTAGCTATTAATTTTAATGACACTGTATTTTATTGGACAATTGTTGATTGAGTCTGAGTCTGATGGTCTATTCTTCTATCATGTATACAAATGAAATGTGATGTAATCATGTCATTGAATAAAGTGTGTGAACAAAATTTTCTTTATTATCAATTGTATATGGATAACATGACAGCATTTAAACTTTCTGGCTGTTAGTTTAGGCTGTATTAGGAATTGTAGGCTACTGTTTTGTTATTGAGGTCTTTGTAGTGACTACAATCGACTATTATCCTACTGATATGTCATCTTTGAAATTTCGAATATTGTTTTTACCTACCTTTATTTATTTTCCCCATTCTTTTCACACCTTCATCACTTAGAACATTATTTTTTTTCCGACTGAGTTTCTCTTTCATTTTGTTGTAAGTGGGGCTGTGGCTGATTAGTTTCGGTATTTGATTCACGGGTCCCTGAATGTGATTCCACCTACCGGTTTTTGGGCAACCAGGAAGTATCAATAGCGCTGACGCTGGATTTTGATTTCTATCGGTGCGGCGTTTCTTGAAACTAAAGTAAAAAGCAAACAATAACCCTACAATTTACTTAATAAAACAGGTTTGTGACTTTCGTATACACTAAGATTACTTTCCGTTTAGAAATCAACAATTTTTCTTTGGTGAGGCATTACATGTGTAAGCAATACGTGTAACTGGTTTTGTTTAGATTACGTCTCCTGGTGCCATTTTATTGTTTGTCTTCTTTACTTAATTGGTCATTTTAGAATTTTGTTGGGAGAAATGTGTGAATATGTTCTCAATGACAGCCAGTCTGTATTGTGTCATCATTATCAAACTACTAATTATTTAAGTAACTTCTAGGAAGTATCCATTATTTGCAGTTTTTCGGATAGACTTTGTGAGATGAAGATACTCGTTTATAAAAATATTTTGTCTGTTAAACTGTAAAACCAATCCATTCATAACAGTTTTAAACTGATATCTTCCTATAAAAGGTTGAGTATTTCCTTCATGCCTAAGGGTCATTAAGTGAAATTCTGATAATGACTCATGCACATTGTTATTATATATTATTAATTATCCCTTGGGTTCCTAGTGGAACATAGGGCTTCAGTAGCGCGTCACCATTTCACTCTGTTCTCTGCAGTCTTTTCAACTTGGCTCCATAACTGCTCAGAAGCTTTCATTTCTTTCTCACGTAATCTACTCCATGACACTCTCGGGTACCCACCTCGTCGTTTTCCATTTGGATTCTACTTGAGGGCCTGGCCTGACGCGTGATGTATCCGAATGGTTTTCCAGTGTATGTCCAATCCATCTCCACTTTATTCTGTATATTTGTTAGGAGATAGGTTGTTGCCAAGCCAGAGTTCATTGTTGCTTATTCTTTCTGACCACCCATCTGATCTTCATTATCGAGTGAGCGTAGGTGGCAGCTGTTGATGAATGTCTGTAGTTTGTTGGAAATGCTCTACATGACGCGTCAACTTTCTGAACCATATAGAAGCACTGACTTGACTGCCGTTGATGTGAAAATCCGGATCTTGTTCACGCTTTATGCTGAGTGGAGTGCAGTAGATCTCCACACTCGTTTCAGATTAATAAAAGCCTGTCTTGCTTTTCCGATCCTGGCTTTGACATCCTCATGTGTTCCACCTGTAGTTGAAACGATGCTGCCAATGATGGTAGGTGAAAGAGGCAACTTCGTTTGGATTTCTCGTGTTGATGATGATTGGTGCTTGTTGTTGTTGTTTGGTATCTTCATCATCTCTGTCTTCTCTACGTTCACTTGAAGTCCCGTCTTCGCTGCATCTTCTGTCAACCTGTTGGTTTTTGCCTGTAGATCTTCGAGTTTGTGCGACAACACAGACATAAATCATGGTCGGCGAGATCCAAACCTTTTTCTGGGATCTTTTCATCGGTCAAACAGCATATGCATATCTTCTCGCTCCTCACGGTTTGCTGCATGATCCAGTTGAGTAGACCACAATCAGGAAGATGATCGGTGTTAGTAAGCGGCAAATTTATCTTACTCCTTTTCTTCACTTCAAAGGCGTCACTCAGCTTTCCATTGTGGATTACTTGGCATGTAGCATGATGTAGCGTATGGCTGTTGAATGACGTTGACAAAGGTTTGTGGTACTCCGTATTGTTGAAGTAGTTTCCAAATTACTTCTCGGGTGACGCTATCGAAAACCTTTTCAAAATCGATGTCGTCGGCGTTGTGTTGAGTTGGATTGACTGCTGTTCTGCTCTCCGTTCTATGATGATGTATGACTTAACGTTGCTATTTGGTCCGCACACGAACCAACCTGTTTCAGTCGCAGCTTTGAATCCAGTGCATCTTCTAGTCTCTCCAGGATGATGTGGCCCAATATTTTGCTTGGAGTGGACAGCGGCATGATTCCGCGCCAGTTATTGTTCTTGCCAAGACTTCGGTCTTCCTTCTTTGAGAGTTTGACAAGGTAGCCGTTTTTCAAATCTGCAGGTACCTCTCCTTCCTTCCTTCCAAACCTTCTGCTATAGTGGTGTGAGCGTGTCCGCTGTTGTCTCTGCGTCTGTTTTCAGTGCTTCTGGTGGAATTCCATCTTGTCCTGCTGCAACTTTATGGCATTCAGGACTTCGGCTTTTGTTAGAAGACTTGTGTTCACTAGTAATTCTGTGGCTTGGCTGCTGGTGGTATTCCTGGATGCGTTGCATGTTGTGGTAGATTCAAGGGTTTCTTAGAATGGTCAGCCTATTGTTTCGTTTGTTTCTCCTCTTTGGTAATTAGGTTTCCTTCACTATCATTGGTTTCATCTTCGCTGATCTCTTCCCAAATAGTATTTTGGTTATTTGATATACTGTTGTCAGGTCCCTCCTACCACCGGCCTGTTCTGCTTCACTTGCCAATGTGCCGTAGAAGTGTCTTTTATCTCTCCACGCACCCTTCTTCACTTCTTTGTCCAGTGTAGTGTTTTATAGGTTGCATTCAGTTACTCTTTTCGTTGTTCATCCTTGCACTGCACTGGTTCATCTCCTGCTTCACCATCTTCCTCTCCCTGCTCTGCTCTATCATCTTCCATGTGTACGTTGGGATCCATTCCTTTGTCTTGCTTCTTTTTTCTTCCTAACACAGTTATGCAGGTTTCTTTCGACAGCTTTCATAGAGTCCCAGCGTTCTTCCATGCCGATTTCCTCGGGTATGTTGCTCAATGTTTCCCATTTTGTCCGGATGACTTACGTGAAGATGTTCTTTGTAGTTTCATCCTTCAGTTTCTGTTCTGGGTGTTCAATTGGACTGTGGTCTATCACCAACTTTTTTGAAAGCTTTCAACTTGATTTTGAAGTTGGGTTCCTTGCACTAGATAGTGAGTGGTGTGAACCTACATCTGTTCCTCCACTTTCTTGAGAGTCATGCACATACATATATATATTTGTATTTATTACCTGTGGCATCTTTCATGAGCCTTTGCATTTTCTAACTGTTACTTTTATTTTGTAGATTATATTTGATGAATGTCATCGAGCGAAGAATTTAACGCCTAGTGGATCTCAAAAACCGACAAAAACAGGTCTTACAGTACTTGAATTGCAAAACAGATTACCGAATGCTCGAATTGTGTATGCTAGTGCAACAGGTGCTACTGAACCTCGTAATATGGCTTATATGACACGTCTAGGTTTATGGGGAGAAGGTACACCGTTCAAAACTTTCAATTCATTTATTCAAGCCTTGGAACGTCGAGGTGTAGGTGCAATGGAATTAGTCGCTATGGACATGAAATTACGTGGAATGTATATTGCACGCCAACTTAGTTTTCATGGTGTGAATTTTAATATTAAGGAAGTATTGATTGAAAATGTTAAATTGGGGAATGAAAGTTTTATTCATGTTTATAATCAGTCCACTGATCTGGTAAGTATTTCTTAATTCTTATTTGATTTAAAATGAAATCATGTTTGTAAAATGTTCATCTTTGTTGCATAATATTTACAACTCACATTGTTATTTCATTATTTATTCTATGTGTTTCACGTGAAACGACATCATGTTCACATTCAGTAAAAATATCTGTGCATTCTGTAGGTAGGTAGGTAGTGAATCTCAGAATCATCATTGGTTCACTTTCCGTTTTCGACCGAGATCTGCAGGTGTGGTCTATACATTATATATAATTATCTTATTGAGTATTAACATTCATCCCCTTGATCCGTTACACCTTCAGATTTTCTTTTGTTTCTAGTACTGTTTCGTGTATATATTCTTCGAACTAGACAATTCCCTCATAAACACTTGTAGGTAATATTTCAAGTTGTTATTCATCGTAGACTGGCATCAGTTGGAGGAACAAAGGAAGCCTTAGAGCACCGGACAGATGTTGCGTCCTAGTATGGGACTCCTCAGTAGTGCCCACCCACGACCCTGCCAGGAATCGAACCCGCGACTTTCAGGTTCCATGGCCAGAACGTTACCATTGGGCTAGCCACTGGGTCAGAATCCAATGTTCCATATTTCCAACGTCTGTTAGCTCACAATATAGCGCAACCGCCACCCAACGTTATCGTTGAGTAACTGTGCTCATGACTATCAGGCTTAGCCACCCACCACCAACCATATAACCGTTACAGATAATCTCATGAAAAATATTGTCCCTTATATACCGTAGCTTTCGTACAAATTTATTCCTTGTCTTCACTTTCGTTGCTCTTTTTTCCATTGACTTGTATCGAAGTTTGGTTTTGATAATTTCTTACGCTGTCAATAATCAGATATTGTAGCAGTATACTTAACACCTTCAACATTTGTTTATTTGAACATAAACTTAGTACGACAGGGACACCAAGAAATGTGCCACACAAAATAATGACATTATGAAGAAATAAAGCGAAGTGAAGTGGATAATTAAGAAAGACACAACAAGAATAAAATGATTCGAAGGGCAGTCAAGTAAGATGCATTCAAAACAAAACATTCATTACTTTTCAACTGCAGAAAATAGAAGGAAGCTACGACATGATCGACACTGGTTTCGACTCTGAGTCATACAACGACGCCCCTCCGCCTCTTCCACCCAGTTCCAGGGCTAGCAAACAATGAACAGCGTGGAGGCCCCGTGGCACGATATGCACAACACTGTGCAAGCCACAGAAGCCAGGGTTTCAAGATGACATCATACACTGAATGACGACCTCCATCATGCCCAAACATATCGTCGTACCTCAGGATTACTTGAATGTTGTTGTCACAGGTTATGAGCAATCCTACGGTAACAAAGATGGTCGACTACACAGAGTCGTCACACATCCTCAGCTTGGAGAGGCCAGGTTTCACAAGAGTAGGACAGAACTGTTGTCACTGAAGCGTTGTAAATCTGACCTTTTACGGTCAGACTAACGTCGTGACGGCGTCATAGGTGGCGCCGACCGCTTTGAATACTTCTAACGGCTCACCACCGAGGGTAAGCGCAGATACAGGTTCCTGTCAATTTTGCAAACGTACTTTGCATTTCATTAGTGCAAAGCACATGCCATATTTACGTACACTAGTCGCCAACTGATTAAATGCGATTTGAATAGCCTGTGTGTTACCGCACAGTAAGACTATATCTTCCGCATATTTAAGGTCGAACAGCCGTTCTCTGTTTTGGAACAATGAAAACAGATGGTTGTATGCCTTCACTCTACGTGAGGTGTTATTTGTTGGGCTTTTAGGATTTTAATAAATTTCTCAGGTATACCCCTTTCCAACAAACAATTCCAGAGTACAACTCTGTCCAATGAATCGATGACAGCCCTAATATCAAGAAACATAACGATTGTTTGCCTGCGATACTTCTGGTGATAAGAAGTCTACAATCGTATAATGAGGTGTTATCTTCACTCACCTCCAATTCAGAATTTAAAATAAAATCAGCCTTTTAAGCTGTCGTTGACATATTCAATGATTGCAAAGATAGTAAAAAATGTTTAATGTGTATGTAATAACGGTCAAAATTCGAGATATTGAAAATTTTCTTTCTAATTGAGTATCAATAATTTATCAAATGTATTGAAAAATCCCTGGATACTTGATTACTTTATCTAAGTTAACGGATATTTCTAATTGTCAAAACTGAGTTTATTTTCTTTGTTCGATGATTTGAAAGGTTGATTTATTCCTGGAACACTAAGTGATAATCTTGTTGAAGGTGTAAAATATTTGTAACAGGAAAAAAAGCGTTCAGTATTCAAGTTCAATTGTACTGCAAGTAATGTCTTTGTTGAAGGATTACAAGATATACCAGATCATTTAGCATTTATTTATATCTTCGAGTTAGATTTTGAACGGTTAATATCTAGCATTTCTGAAGGTACTTTCCTGATGTCTAAGACTTTAAAAACTTAGTTTATGCGTTATTCTTGCAGTTCAACAAGTAGGTGATTCAATGTCATCCATCCATCCAGATCAACCTAGGACCAGACTTTACTGCGTAACGGTCCCACTTGCCACGCCTCATATCAATACATCAAATAAAAAGGTAGTGAGGCTCAAGACGAAGATAAGAGAATGCAGTCAAAAGAAATATAAAGTATGAAAAAAGAGGAACGAAGAATGAGAAAATGGTGAGATTCGGTATAGCGTCGTTAGGATGCGGATAATATGTGTATACATCTGCTCCACTAACATTGATTCTGAGCCATGTGATCACCAACAGTCTCCAACCACTGGTTTCTCTTGCCCTGCGGATCCCAACCACCTAGTCTGCATCACCCCACATGGCTCAAACCAACAGTCAGAGACTTTATACATTGGTGCCATGTTTTAGTCTGACCGCCTCAAGCCCTTTTCCAGCCTGAACCTACTTCAGCCAACATTGTGTGGTGGGGCAGACGGCGACTAGGCACACGTAACACGTGTTCCAACAATCTTGGTAGATAAAGGTTCACAACCGTGTAAACTAATTCAACTCATTTCTCTAAACTTCTGCGCCTGACTTCTGTGTTACTCACTAACGTGGTGACACCACAAAATACGGCCTATACTACGAAGGCAACGGTGGTCAAACACCTGAAGCGTTCTCATTTCTTCCACCTCCAATGGCCATGTTTCACAACCATTCAGTAGAACAGACCGGACTGCTGTGCAGATGCAGTATACGTGACCCTTGGTAGACAATCGGATATCACGGCTGTGCCACAGTTGGCATAGGTTGGCGAAAGCCAATCGAGCCTTTTTGTATCTGTACAGAGATTTCAGTGTTGAAGATTATAATCAACTGGATCTTAATAGTATGATATGTGCACTGTAGTCTACAACTTCATACATACTAGGAACATATTAAGGTTATTTCCGCATCCATAAACTGGTCTTGTATTCACTTTTTAATTTTGTGTAATACAATAATTTATTATGAAAGAAGAACTAATTTTAATTTGAAATTTACTTCTGATTTGTAGTTAAAAACGAATTGATTATTCTCATTTTCTAAAAATTCTTCAGTGGGTATACGCCTATCGTTTCTTTACTGAGGCATCACGTTTGTTAAATTTAAGTGATCGTTATCGTAAAACAATGTGGGGACAGTTTTGGTCTGCTCATCAACGATTCTTTAAATATCTTTGTATTGCTGCAAAAGTGGATACATGTGTTGGTATAGCGAAAACTGCTATTGATGAGGGTAAAGTGAGTAGCTTATTATTAAAATGAAATTTTTTTAAAAAACTAATATGAAATGTCTTCTAATCTGTTTGACAGAGTATGTACTGACACTACGTAAACACAGCCAACCTATTCCTTATGCTCTATTATGGCTTACAAGGTGATAGCATCAATTTTCCAGAAGAAATGTTCATTGCAATTGTCAATCACTAACTTACAGCCATTTGGTGATTTCTGTTATCACCCTGAATGAAATCTTGTTGGAATCACTATTTATTGTTGAGGTTTTTCCAAAGCGTTTACCAGTTTGTCTTTAAAGCTTCACTTTGTGGATAAATAACACTTGCGTTGGTTAGAATATGCCTTGTCTTATCTTTTACTTTCGCATTGATCCGCCATACTGACTCATTTTATACTCATCTCATGTAGGTGAATTTAAGAAAGATAATATCAACACAAGATCTAGCTTTACTGCCTAGCGGTTTACACTATTATGCATCAAGACGGTAACTACAGAAATCAGGGGAAAGTAGTCAGTATCGATAGAAAACCAAAGAAAAAGAGCAAGGAGAAATGAGACAATGCTAAGATTTAGCATGATGATTAAATCACCCAGAGGATAATGGTCTGGTGTTTGAAGCGTTGAGTGCTAGATTCGAGTCTGATTTAGGGAAAACGTTTCATTACGACCCAGTTATATCCGAACAAGGGTCCCAATTGGGAGAAGTCCCGCGTCTTGGATCGGACTACTAGCCATCACCATCGCAGGGGAAAACAGTTAGAGCTAGAGACTCAATTGATTCCTCTTGTACTTATACTATTGATGGCTGATTGTTTCTCATAGTTAGGATCTTGTAAATTGCGTTAGGCTGTTGAGTCAATGTTCTGTAGTGTAGTAATAGTACTTTGAATTCTCAGTAAATCAGTTTCATGTGCCGCTGTAGTTTATTTTCAGATAATCTACTTTCCACTCTTATTTCACTCACATATATTTCATGTTGTTCTCTACTGTTAGTGCGTAGTCATCGGTCTTCAGTCTACTGGTGAGGCCAAAACTCTTGAACAAGTTGAAGAATATGGATCAGATTTAGGTGAATTCGTTTCAACTGCCAAGTAAGTTATGTTGTCGGGCCGGAAACCCGGTGGTCGCTGGTTCGAATCCGGCCGCGGTCCAAATTTTCATTTCACCTTCAATTATCACCCAGTTTAAATTGATTTATTATCAGTTATCTTACATTATTTACCTGTTTTTACTTTTCAGGGGGGTATTCCAGTCATTGATTGAGAAGTATTTCCCAACACCAACAAATGTGGATAATTTTTCCCTTAGAGGAGATAAATTAGCCTCTGCTGGTGATCGCAGCTCTAATACAACTCTGAGCAGAGCTGGGCGTGCAATCGCTGCCGGTCAAGGTAGTGGTCTTGGTCTTAAAGATATTTTGGGTGAAAAAATGCTGCAAAGTTAGTCGCTGGTGGTAGCTTATCTGGGTCGAATATTGATGGTGATTTTGAGAATGGTAATAAAAATGAGGATAAAGGATCTGACTCGGATGATAATGAGGATGAACATTCTGAGGATTCAGATGATGATGAAGATTCCGATTTTAATAATGCCGTAAAGGTTAATGGAGTTAATCCTTTGGGAGGAAATTCATCTTCATCTGATTATTATGATTCTGATCTCGAATTGAACTTATCAACTGAAAATTCTAGTCATAAGCGGTCAAAAAAGTCGAATTCTAAAAAGCAATCTCAATCTGGTAGGCGTAAACAGAAGCATGGTCGTGATGGCAGTTCACCAGACGGTTTATCAGACGATTCAGATGATGATTGGGATCCCGACGCTCTATTTGACAGTTTTCTGGCTCGCAACATGACTCTGCACAACTTCACTTCGGATCATAGTAGTTCGAATAAGCGATCAGATGGGAATAAGCATCTTAGCGATGATATATGGGGTGATGAATTGACGCGTAAATTATCACAGCAGTATCTTATGGGAAGAGCTACAACCGGATCCAATCAGGCGATGGCCATCAATAATGAAATGAAAGTCTCACCAGAAGAAGCTAAACGACAGTGCATTGAGATGCAAAATTTACTGTTGCGTTTCATAGAAAAGCTAGGTGCTAAATTGCCTCCAAGTTCTCTTGATGAGTTGATCGATAAACTAGGCGGTCCTTCACAAGTTGCCGAAATGACTGGTAGAAAAGGTCGAATGGTTATGGGAGATGATGGTCGAGTATCCTATGAATCTCGTCGTGAAACCGATGTTAATTTGGAATTACTTAATTTAACAGAGAAACAACGTTTCATGGATGGCGAAAAACTGATTGCTATTATTTCCGAAGCTGCTAGCAGTGGTATTTCTCTGCAGGCCGATCGACGAGCAGTTAATCAACGTCGTCGTGTTCATATTACTCTAGAACTTCCTTGGAGTGCAGATCGTGCTGTTCAACAATTTGGTCGTACTCATCGTTCTAATCAAGTTAGCGCACCAAAGTACATCTTTTTGATTTCGAACTTGGCTGGTGAGCAGCGGTTTGCATCAACAGTAGCCAAACGTTTAGAGTCATTAGGTGCTTTAACACATGGTGATAGGAGAGCTACAGAAACTCGTGATTTATCACAGTTCAATTTGGATACTAAACTTGGTCGAGAAGCCTTGGAGTTGGTGTTGCGTGCTTGTATTTTGGGCGACGAAGGAGTAGTGGAACCTCCAAATGATTATATTCCTAGTACTGATTTCGACTCTGCTGGCGATCGAGATAAATTGAGTGCTGAATCTTTCTTTAACGACGTCAGGGCTAGTTTACAAGGTGTAGGTTTAGCCACTGGTCGATGTCGTGAGAAAGATAGTAATCAAATGTCAAAGTTTTTGAATCGTATTTTGGGCATTCGTGTTCACATTCAGAATGCTTTGTTTCAGTATTTTTCTGACACACTTGAGGAACTTACCAGGCGTGCTAAACGTGACAATCGATTAGACCTTGGTATTATGGATTTAGGTACAACTGGACAGAATTTAGAAATAGCATGGACCAAGAGTTTTGATACATGGTTTTTATCAGAATCTACTCAGGTGCATTTACACAAGGTGACTGCCGAACGTGGCTTAACTTGGTCAATTGCTATGGAAATATACACCCAACATGATGGTGTTCATGATGGTTTCTACCTACCTTTAACTCCTAGTACCGGGAAAGTTGTTATACCTGTTCTTGCTGTGTATGTGAAATCCCGTGTAACGCGATCATCTGGCTCGTCGGAATCAAAATTATATCGCATATACCGACCAAATACTGGGATGCAAGCACGAATGATAGAATTAGAGAAACTCCAAGAACGCTACAAGCGTGTTTCTAATCCATCTGATTGTCAAGAGCCCTGGAGTCGAATATTCAAAGAAAGCGCTAAATGCTGCATTCATATTTTGCTTCATGGGTACTGTTCATCAAGCATTCAAAATCAAACACTATGTGAAGTTGGTCTGCGAATGCGGAACTACTACGTTCTTAGTGGGTCAGTATTAAATGTGTGGGCACGAATTGAACCAGTGCTTCAATTTCGCTCCAACTCTATGCGTTGTATGCAAGTTGTACGTCTTAAATCGAAGGATGGCAAGCGCATTATAGGATCTCTTATTCCACAAGAATGTGTTCAGGATGTTTTAGCTTGTTTATCACTACCACCCGATGCAGAGCAAACGCAACTTCCTGATGCTAACACAGCTACCAAATCAATCTTCCCTCGTACTCACAGTTTTTCTGGTTCACGAAACAATGATTTTATCGTCCCACCTAATACTGTTTGTGTTCCTTGGCCGAGAGGTCAGCGGCCGTGTTTACGATCACCTCAGCACTCCAAAATGTGGAGTGCCCGTTCACCTTCTATGTTTAATCAACGCGGCAGTACTATGATTAGACATGGTATGTCTCCTTCTGCTTACGGTAATGATAATCATATGCGTAGCAGTGTATCACTACACCAAAGGACTTTGACCAGCGCCAAATGGACACATTAAGAGAAACGCTCACAACTGGTATGAAACATTCACCAACCTACCGATCAAACCTTACGTCTACTTCAGTGTCACGATTTCCTACGTCCAGTCGAAACTTTTCTGGTCCCACTCAGCAAACTGGTTTTATGCACACTTCACAGGTTTCTTCACTCACAAGAGGATCTGATATCGGGCCTGTTCGTTTGAATTCTCACCTAAGAACAGGTAGCAGATTGAATGCAGCCCTTTCATTGCCATTATCATCTGATAATTTTAATACTCAAGATCGGAATTCGCATACTACCAACAGTCAATTTACGATACCTCGGTGTGAACCTTCAGTCAATCATTCAAATGACTTATCTGTGTTATCTTCTTCAACCATTGGTACATCGATTCCTTCCAATCCTTTAGGAGATACAGCTAACAGCATAAAACGCGGATCGAATAAAGTAACACGTTTCAAGATCAAATGGAAAGAAGGGTAAACAGAAATAATCTCTCCCATCTATCTCGATAGTCTTTCTACAATCTTTTTGTGAATTTAGTCAGTCTATGTTTTTAATTTTTTTGTGACAGATAAGATTTATTACATACCATCTGTCTTTTCAGCACATCAATTAAAGATTTTCTTCGATCACATAGTATATTAAATTATTTTTTTACTACGGCTACTATACTACTGAATAAGACATGATTCTGGTGTAAAAAGGTCGAGTTGTTTTTTCTTTTGATACTTGCAAAAATTTCTTCTCTGTTTCTTTTCTTTTTTTTAAGCACTCCTTTTTTTTCGGTATGAAGTGTTATTGCGGGATATAAGTGTATGCAGTATCTCACTCTGTGCGCCATCCCCTCCTTTAGTTGTTATCAGAAATTTCACTTGTAAATAGACTGTTTTACAGTTTTACTTTTAACTGTTCTTTTTTTTTTTTAATTTTAACTTTCCGGTTGCAAAGATTTTCTGATTAGTTAGTTGTATATTATTACCTGTCAACTATATCTCACTACCTCTGTGGATGCAAATAATGTGCACAAAATAAGTCGACTCAATAACTATTGTTATTATTGTATTGGCATATTCTGTGGCGGATGTTCATGATAATCAGTGTTTGTCTTTCCATGAGAATCACTTTTCATCTTTCGTTTCTTTCACATATTTAAACCATCTGTATTATTACTGTCACTGTTATTCATGAGTTTTTCCTTGAATATTTCCCTTCTTTTGCTATTCTTGTTACTGTAAGCATTATATTTGTATTATCTGTGAGTGTCGTTAGACTTTTAACGTATTCCATTCGTATTGAAAACGGGAGAAGTGATTGCTAGTTTTATTTTGCGTTTGTGTATTTATTATTACCATTTGAATGAATAAAATAAGTGAACAGAAAATGATGCTTACTGTTGATTTGTTGTTTGGAGAATATCGGATAGATATTGTAACAGATATATTGTCGTTGTAGCATGTAAATTAAAGGAACCAGACCAGGTGTTGACAATTTATTAACTTTACAAAGCTAGTTGATTTGCTTACAAACATCAGTGACTTGTGCCACCAGGCTTCCTTTACATTGTAGTAGTTTGAATGGTTACTTGCATAAATTTCGCAACTCCTACTGCCTTGACTTGGTCGTCAGGCTTGCTGGAACGCTTGTTTTCTCGACGTCCTTCTATGTCAGAAAGATCTGTTAGATAATGCTGCTAGCGGTATGTGGAACGACAGCAGTAAGATGTTACCCTTGGATGACCAGCAGTGCCACACTGTGGTGCCTTCCCTGTAGGAAAGGAGGGGGGTAGTAGTAAAGATCGGCCCCAGAAATAGCACACTCATTCCTGTCCCACGGCCTTCCGTTTTGGCGATAGAGCAACTAAACCTAAAAAACTCAAAAGGCTGAATGTTACAGGACTCAAGCAGATGTTCCATGGACCATGCGGTGGTGCAAATCTTTTCCCACGGTGTCTGCAGCCGGGGAGTTTTAACCGCGTGCATTCTTCCAGTAGTACACAGGACTCAATCAACATAACCTATCCTCCTCTACTCTGTCTCCTCCATTGCCTTCACCTGGTGTTATTATTGGGCCTCAAACGCTCTTTCTGGAGTACCAGTTTGGACTGAGATCATGTCCTGGTATGGGCTTGTTAATGTCTGCACTCTTACTGGCCGCAGGAAACAGGGGGCTGTTATCTATTCGTTTGGAAGATGAGGGCATCAAGTGTGTAATTAGGGAAGAGATATCTAAGCATTTATGTGACAGTGACGGCAATGCTCATGCTGAGGAAATGTGGTGTGGTGTTAAGTTACTTGTAGAAACAGCTGTAAAGACAGTTAACCTACACCCGAAGATTAGCAAACCTGATTGGATTTCCACAACGTCATTCGAACTGAGTGGTGCGAAAAGATTCATTTCAGCTGACTATGATCACAATGAAGAGCGAAAGCAACACAAACGTAGATTGACTTAGTCTTCTTGTCGACCAAGAGCAGTCATGGGTAACGAGAGAGATGGTGAAGGTATCAACGTCGGGTAACACTCGGCAACTGTTTAGATACCAGCAAGATGATGGTGAATGAAACCATCGAGAAGGATGAAGCGTTGATAACCTCCCAGGGCAGGCAGAACAATTTTACGCCATATTCAGCTGGCCTTTAGCAACGCTTAAGTTCCCCAACATCCAGCAGGAACCTGAATGGGACGTAGATGCCAGTGCTCCACCTTTTTGAAGTTGAGAAAGCTGTATCGAACCTGAAACGATACAAAGTAGCAGGATCTGACAGTTTCCCACTTGAAGTTATCAAGGATGGAGGTAGGAAAGTGCTAATTAGTTACGGAGATACTAGGTAGTGTATCGGAATCAGAAGTATTGTCGTCAACCGATGTGTTTCACTGATCATTCCATTCTATAAGAAGGAGGAAAAATCTTGTAATAACCATGAGGGAATTAGTTTGACTAATAGTGTCCAAGATCCTACGGTCCATTGTTACCCCACGTCTAAATGGAGGTAGAGAAAACGAGGCAGGTTTCAGATCCGAATGAGGGTGTATCGTTCATTTTTTCGCTCTCCGACAGGTTCTGGAACAGGGGTATAGGTACGGGCGCAGACAATTGCCATATTTGTTGACCTAACATAGTTCGGGTATTTATTATTTAATGCCACTGTGGTAAATGTTGTTGACTGGAAATACATTGTTGCTTTATTCAGAAAGTAATCAACTTGAATACCTCAAAAGCCATTTGATTGGACGAAGAATATTCTTTTCGATAACTCCTTGTTCTTCAGATCTTACAATTACATGTGCACATTAAAGAGTTTTGCATCAAGAATATTGTGGCTGGAATACTTTTTCTGAACACTTAACTCAGGGTGTTTGATCCTGATTGCTGTTGCTTCTGCAGTCTGACGAATTCCCAATCAGATAAATTTTGACAAGTTCATGAGAACCCGGTACCGGATAGAAAATTACTTACTCATAACCATCTCATGATTCGTTTCAACCAAGTGTGATATAGAGCAGGTAATAGTTTTTAACACACCTTCATTTAACCACTCTGGGAGGTTTTCGGGAGCACGGCGGACGTATCTGCTCGATAGCAGCAGTCAAACTGATAAACACAATAGGAAGTGGTCGGTATGGACTTTCTGTCTCGGTGTCACCGTTGATTTCCTCAACTGTATAATACTATTATCAGACTAATAAGCGTAATCTCAATATTGTTGACGCATGATTCCTCAATATGGACACATAACAGTAATAATTTGGTTGGTTATGGCTAGCGAAAGAATCCAGGACTCGCGCCTCGTCCTATTTGGGACTTTTCAGCTGGATGTACCTGCACCCCAGTGATGTTTCCATTGAGACTCGGACCTCGTACGCATCGCTTCAAAAGCCAACGCGTTGTCGACTACACCACAGAGGATGCCTATCACGCGTTGTACAAGAAATGGCCATCGCTCCTCTGTGGCATGGTGGACAACGCCTTGGTGTTTGGAGCGATGCGTACGAGGTTCGAGTCTCACATGGGAACAACATCACTATGCGCTTGGTTGCAAATACATCCAGCTGGCAAGTCCCAAGTAGGAAGGGACGCGCGTCCTGGTTTCTTCTACTAACCACAACCAACCAAATTTTCATAATTAGCATTTAGGTAATATCGAGGAATCCGCATAGGAGCCCATATGCTAATAGAGGTCGAACAGTTCGATCCAACAAAACGACAGAGAATAACAAGTACGTCAACAAATAGTCATAACTGTAAGCCTTGCAGAAGAAGGAGAAGTTATAGAAAAGAATATTCTTTGTTCAATCAAATGGCTTTTGCATTTCATAAATATGACGAATCCTAATCGGTAGTTAAACAATAAAAATAACAATCTGCAGAAATGCATGGAAAATTCTCTTTATCAATATACTTTATTATTAGAAGTCGGATAGAGTAATCATTATGCCATAAAAATAAAATGAAATGTACTCAACAACCATTTGTACGTTTGATTAGTAGGCAATGAGCCACATTTAGAGTGTTAAGGTTAATGATACTATCTGATTGCTCAAACCTTGGAGGATGGAGCAATGTTTGAACCTATAACTTGTTGACAGGATGTCATCTCTGTCAACAAATGCCTCACAGGTCTACAGAAATAACATGAAGTACTACTTTTTTAATGTGATGCACTTATGAAGAACTCACACAAGTGTTTTCATTTACTTGTACAACTCACTTTTTGACGTGTACACTTTAAATGCTGAAATCCTTCGTAAGATGTAAATTACATTCAAATGTTCAAAATGAATGGTCTTGTCAAGTTGATCAGGAAAGCTTCATCATCACATATGAATATATAACATTTTAATCTGATTAGAAAATTCTTTAATTATATTATGAAAAATAGAATTTCTTCAATGTTTCATGAAAATCTAAGTCATCAGTAAACAGATAAACGAAAATCTTGTTTAGAAGTAGTATTTATCATGGACTGACATCAATTGGGGAACCATTGAAAACCTAGGAGCACCGGATAGCCGTTTCTTCCTAGTATGGGACTCCCCGGCAGTACGCACCCACGACCCGGCCACGGGTCGAACTTAGGACCTTCGGGTTTCACGGCGAACGCGCTAAGCATTCAGTCGCTGGGTCTGTTTCCAGTGGTTCACAATTTCCAACTTCTGTCAATTCATGACATAGCGTGACTGTCACCCAAGGTCTTCAGTTAGCATCCACTTCACTTCCGACTGGTTGACCCCACAGGTCACGGCTTCTCATTAGAACTTCCTGACATCTGTGAAACCTGAAGGTCTTGAGTTCGATCTCTAGCCGGGTCGTGAGTGCTTACTGCCGAGGAGTCCCATACTAGGATGAAACAGCTGTCAAGTGCTCCCTAGTTTTCAATGGTTCGCCAACTGATGTCAGTCCATGATGAATACTACTTCTAAATTAAAAATCCCCATTCATCTCAAAAATGAAAATCTTGTTGTTTATATAATGGACTATG